TTCTTTTCCCCCTTCTTATGCAGAGTTACAGAACAGGCTGATGAAAATAAAATGTCAGCCAGCAACCTTGGCATAATATTTGGCCCAACTCTGATCAGACCACGTCAAACTGATGCTACAGCTTCGCTGTCATCACTTGTGGACTACCCTTATCAGGCCCGAGTAGTGGAGCTGCTCATAACATACTATGAAAAGATATTTGATGTTTCATTGAAGCCACTTCTGAGCACATCTCAGTCTGAAGAAACAGCTGTTACAGTCAGAGTTGCTTTATCAACAGATGAGAAGGAGCCACAGCAGCAGAGGAAATCATTTGTTGCTGTAAAGGAAGTGAGTGACTATTCTTGTGCTGCCACAGTGCTACCTGTGCCATCTTAACTATTGTGTTAAATGCTGCAGCATTCCAGAGCACATTTCTAGTAAATCTTTATGGGTTTTTTTGTTAAGGAGTGCCTTTTCTCTCAAGTTTTCATTTACTTTTGCTCTGACTTTTGTTAGCAGGGTATTCTGATAGCTCCGAGTGAAAGCAGAGCTTCAGAAACAGCTGCACTGTTTTTGGAATCGAACAACAGCAAGAATACAAAAGAACACACAGATCCATGTGTAACTGGTTAGTATGCTATTGACTCTGGGGAGTGACTTAATAAGGAGTCCTCGATGCATTAGGTTATAGTGCATGCAGCTCTTCAATTTAGACAGAAGCAAGTGATAAAACCTGCTTATCACTGCTTGATATGCTGTTTCTTTTTGTAAGAAGAACAGAGAATTAAATCTTTCCAAAGGCTTTCAAGAAACCTGTGTTTATGGAATTGGAGGTTAAAGTATTTGGTTAGAGAATACAACAGTGTGTTGGTTTCTGCTTTTTTTTAAAAATCAAACAAAACAAAGCCATAATTCCACTGTGACTGTAGATTTTTGAAATCCACTATGATGCTGCAAACTAATACCCAGCAATTAATGTGTTTTGACCACTTCCCCCTCTCCGAATGTGTATCATTGCTGCTCACAGGAACTAAACCAGAAGGCTTTGGGAAGAGTAATTCTCTGACAGAATCATCAGCTAAGAGCATTTTGGATATCAATATTTCTGCTCAAAAAAAACCAGGTTTGCTAACCGAACTAACTCTGCATTTTTTCTGTTTATCTGCCTGTGCTACTACAGTGGTTTGTTTTAATGTAGGTATGATTTCATCTACTTTATTTAGCTGTCCATAATCCCTCTTAATTATACTGATTTTCAGCTGATGCTACCAGTTCAGTCATGTCCTGTACATTTACAGTGCAACATCCTGAAACAAGCTGAAAATATTTAGGGATGGGAGAGCACCAGCCAAAAAAAATATAGTGTCTCTTTGGCTGTTTCTTCTTGATGTCTTCCTTGGTTACAGCTGTACAGTATGTGTTTTACTGCTATTGAAAAGTTAACATTTGGTTAGAGTAGGATGCTCCTAGTATGTATATAGGCTATCCCTAAAAATTATTATCCCATTAAAATACTAACTGCAAAGGGATCATTAATAAAGTCTTGTTGACTTCTCTTTATATTTGGTGCAAAGATCCAGTCACATCTATTTGTGTGTTTCTAGGTGATGCTGTGAGTCCAGCTTCAGAGAAAGACAATGATCCATTAATTTCTCTAGGTGAAGACAGCTGTAAAATTAACTTACTTCCTGCAAAACCTAACCGTCAGATTACCAAAGTTCCATTGCGGGTTCCAAGGACAAAAGCAGCTTCTCGCCCTGTGAGCTTGCCTGTGGACCGAATACTTCCTCCATGTGTTTTGAATGAAAGAAATTCACGAAATGCAGGAGCAGTAAGTTCAGAGAAGCTGGGCCGGAGCCCTACTATTGAAGAGGTTTCAGAGGTGAAGGCACTCCCTGCTGGTAATACCTGCTGTAGATTTCCTTGTTATGACACCCAGATGCTGCGAAAAAATTGGGACAAGCAATATAAACAGTACGATATCACAGCAAGGACAGCAATGATTGTGACTAATGTGCCCCAGGAGAACCGAGCACTTGAGAGTGGAACTGCAGGTGCTTTATCTTCATCATGCAGTGTTGGTAACAATTCAGCTAATGCCATTCTTCCTAGTAAGCCATATTCTGTTGTTGGGTCAGGAAGGACAGCAACAGAAGAGAATGGTCCTGATGTTAATCCTCTTGCTGCCTTTAGGGCACCACGAACATTGCAACCCCCCCCCGGGACATTTTATAAACCACCCTCTAACAAATCAAAAGAAAATGGAGATGGTTCTTCTGCTAAAGCTTGTGCACCAACCAGTGCTAGCTCTGTGCTTCACCAGGACAATACTGTGAAACTGGCTAGGAGCTCTGCACTTCCATCAGGTGATCCTGAACAGAACACAAATGAACAGAAAGCTAGCCCAGAGGATATTCACCCCACAGATCTGAAGCCTGCTTACCAGAGACTGAGACCAAAAAGGATCCAAGAACTGGAACACAGGGAAGCTCATTTTGTATAGGGTGCAAATTCCTCTTGGACTGTATGCAATTTGTTGATGTTGCCAGTGGAGGCTTCCCTTTGCTCTCCTTTATCCTTCGCCTTCCCTTGAGAATCCCACTTTTGTGCCATATTGGAGTTATTTTTATATATGCAGCATTTTAAAATTGGGGGGAGGGCTGGGGAACTGTGAATTAAATAAGTCAAACTTTTTGTAGTTCAGTAGCTTTCAATAAAGATGTATTACATTCCCAGTCTAGATACAGTTAAAGGTTTCATTGAATAAGACATTGAGCTTCATTTCATTTTGTGGAATGGAGTGCTTATTCATAGAGAAACAGCTATTTTTCTTAATAGATGGTATAATAAAAATGGAAGATTTAATGTTCACTGTCTAAGCATAAACCAAAGCTTGTGCTTTGCTCTGTAAAAGCATTTGTTCATTTTTCTAATATGTGCAATTAAAGCTTTTCTCATGAACAGGCATACATACTGGCCGGCATGGCCACAATTATGTATCATATGTGTATATGTTAGGCAGACATGGTTATCTGTTGCCAGTTTTCTATGTTGTCACTTTAATATTTCTTTTTTGTACAGCAAGGATGCACTTACTGAGTTTTACTATTCAGAAGCAGCAATCAATTCACATCTGGTTTCTTGTATAACTTAGCAAGTGGGGCAAATGTGCAGAGCCTGTTTTGTTTGGATGCCCTTCTGGAGAGACTATCATTGCAGTGGTGCTGTCTTTCCCAGGTGAGTGAAAAAGGCAGTGATTTGCTTGCTATAGATCCGTTTCACCGCCTGACATGGTGTAACTGAAATGAAGAGCATTGTTTCCAAGTTTCAGTGAAAGAGCTGAAAATAACCAAAAATCTGCATTAGTAGGTGCATCTAATGGTTTTCACTTTGTATTAAACGGTTCTTATGTGTACACTGTGTTATATTTGCTTTAAAATATATTAACGTGTTAACATTCCAGTGACTCTATGGCTTCTATATCTGGATTTCTTCTAACTTATTAAAATACAGACATTTGGCCTTTGCAATACTACAGTACTCTGCTGCCTCTGTCTTCTGGGGATGGGGAGTGGCACACTTTTCTTAATGGGATTACAATTAGCATGACCCTTTCTCACATACTATAGAGTTACTTTGGCATAGTACTTTCTACTGATGTAAGAATGAAAAGGACAGGAAAAGCAAAGAATCACTTTTCTGTTCTTACAGTGTGAAATACACTGGACTTTCCTACTCCGTTACCTTTGCCCATCTTCCCAAAATATCCAGAATAAAATCCCACACTCCATTCAGTGGACATAATCTGATTTTAATTTCCAGAACAAAAGCTCCTAAATTCACAAAGCTGAACTTCTGCTTCCTTATCACATTTCCAGGGAAGCGTGGCTTGCATTCTTGGAAAAAGCCATGCTATTACTGGATTGTTCTGGCCATGCTAGAGGCTGTTTCTTTGGTGAGCTGCCTTATACTGCAGAAAAACTGAAGATCCTAGATGCTGCTGTCTGCCCATACTGCTGTTGTGAGTTGCATAACAAAATAAGTGGACAGATAAAGGCTTCTTGATATAGATGGGAGTTTGTTCTACTTTGTCAATGGAGGAGTGGAATATAATGCACACAACTGGTTAATGAATCATTACAGACATTGGAGCAGAACTTTAATAGCACAGCTGTGAAAGGATGGTGCTGGTCAGTATTGATTAGGGCCCGAGAAGGCTGCTGGGATGGAGAATTACAACATCGGATACTAATCTGTGAGAAACAGACAAATGTTTCTTAATCAAGTCATAATACCAGCTACTATTGGTTGTTGTCATACTGCTTTTTATGTATCATGTCCTTCCATGTTTTGCTGGTGTGAGAGTTTCTGCTCTTTGAAATGCACTTTGGGTCTCTGTTGGTGTTTCCCACAGCCAGGCCGGTGCTAGCGGGCCGGGCCGGGCTGGGGGAGCGCAGCGCCACTGTGTGCCTGCGCACGGGGATCAGGGTCTCATAAACCCACGGTATTTCGTGAAAAATATCATCAATTTCAGTAGATGAATTACGGACGACCCAGCTTTATAATGCCTTCGACTGGTTTTATGCAATACAAGCGAAGGAGCAAGGGTACTTCTTTGGAAATTAAACCTTTGAAGCCTACGTAAGAGTTGTGACCCTGCTGCCCAGCCCGGCGGCACCACGGAAGGGGGAGGTCCTTCCTCCGGAGCCTTCCAGCCAGGCCTGGGACAGGGCAGCCAGCGGGGGAGGCTGGGAGGCGGCGGCTGCAGGGCCAGTGTGTGACTTCTTAATTTGTAAATTTTCGTCAGCATTTGCACGTTGGCGTCAGGGCCGTGTTTTGATCGGGCTCGTACACCGAGCTCCGCTCCGCCCTGTGAGGGAGCGGGTGGGGGACGGCAGGAGCCTCAACCGGCACAGGAAGGGGTGTGAGGAGCCGGCAGCGGAGCCTTAAACCTGGTGGAAAAGACTTTGGCTTCCTTTGGGACTGGAAACGTTACTAATGGCCCTTGTTGTTTCTTTCGGTTCTGATGCAGATTTCCCTAGGTCTTGCTTTGAAATGGCCTCACTCCAACCGAACTGCAGCAATCCCACCCACCTGCCCCAGGTGACAGGCTCTGGGTCATACAAAGTGCCAGAACCCTGCGGCTTGTCCTCTGGGGAGGAAACCTTTCTCTGTCAGATTTGCTTGGTAATTGCATTTTCTGAAGTCGTAATGCACTGCCTCATCCCTCTTAAAGCTTTGGCAGCATACCGACTTCTGTAAGTCTCTGACCTAATTAGTTATGACAGGTGTTTGGTTTAGTAGGGCCCCTGATGCTACCAGAACTACCATCTTTTCAAATACAGAGTTTGTTCAGATCTGAAGAAGTACACTCAGAAATATCAACTTCCTAGTACAGACTTGACTGCTTGTGCTGGTCATATTGGATATTTGGGGGTATTTTTATTCAGGAGTCCTTAAACTCACCAATTGAGCTGTTCTGTATCGAGTAGGGGATTAAAACAATCTCCTTACAACTGAGCAGTGTTATTCTACAAGCACTAACTGCATCTAAGATGTGTGTTTCTTTGCCACCAAGCTGAACATTCCTTCAGAAACCTTCCTCTTCCAGCAGTGCTCGCACATGAGGTAAGCTTCTGGGGTAAGTTTTCAAGCTTTTTATTGCTTCTATTTAAGAAGTCTGTGCTTTGCTTTAAAATCCGTGAATTCTTTAGCTTCTATAGCAAAGCAGAGCCCTAATGGAATTAATCTGAAAGCAGTCACGAAACGCTCTGCGAAGGCCCTTAGTGCACGTATGCTAACATTGGTAACTTAGCTCAGAGCATGTTTGTACTTTTCAAGTGACTTCTCTACGTGCCACTGTGGCTCACGGTACAGTGTGATCTCAGAGCACACAAACTTGATTCTGTTTGGGTGAGACTAAACTGGAACATATGCTTCAGCAGCATACCTGACGTGCTGCAGCTGCTAATGCACGTTCAGTCTATGGAGTTCATCTGAAGTAACCCTTAGGCAGTGTGTTTGTCCTGGGTCCTCAGCACTCACTGTTTCACTATAAAGCTGCTCTTACTGGGCCATACCACTTGTCAATGTACACATAAACTTAATATTTTTGGAAAATGAAACAAACCAGATGTTTCAACTTTCATTAGCAAAGTTGGAGGAGAGAGGGGCAGGGAAACGTCTGATATTTGCAAACTATGTTATTTTGAATATTCATGCAAGTAAGTTTCACAGGAGGATTCTTTGGAGAGAAACCATGTTCTATCTCCATGCCCATTTTTATTCAGAGAGCGGGGAATTCTTTTTCTAATTTAGAGATCCAAGGGATCCATGGAAAGTGTTTTTACTCACAGGTAGAAGAAAAAACTATCCTAAATCTTCTGAAATGTAAAATGTTTGAGGAAGGTGAATTCTAGGAAAATCCTCACTCCTCAGCCCTTATGCAGCTGGATGACAGAACGGTGTCTATAGGAAGTAAACTCAATTACACCAGAAGTAGAAAACATGCCTTTTGAGTTTCTACTTGCTGTGCTTTTGTGCATGTTTTTCCACAGATTGGGGTGATTAACCAACCACTGGTTTTGCACATGCATGGAATCTGCTTAAGATTCTACATTTCCCTGTGTTTGACATGTGGAAGAGTGATTCTGATTGTCTTTGATTTGTAAAAATATACTTTTCAAACAGAGGTTTCATGGAGCCTTTTCTTAGTCTCTCTGATTCTTTTTATCATTTGATTCCAGCTTGACAGAACTTGCCATTCTTGTCCCTCAGGTCACTCCTTACCTATTTCATGGGGGGAGGCCTCTGAAATACGTAGGAAACACCTAAAAACCTTCAGCTTGTGTTTTCCCTAGCAGTTTAGATTGCTGGGTGCAAAACTTACTTTAACTGAGAAAGCCCCAACCTGTGTATGTGTAGTTTTCTCTACACACACATAGATATGTCTGTTTATCTATAGAAAATACATTTATACACACCCACTCCTACAGTTAGCCTAGGCAAAATCATGTTAGCACTAACTGTGTTAGCTTTCTAGTGAGGCTGTGTCTAGGGACATGCTCTTCTACATGTGTCAGAATATCTGGTTAAGAAATGGTTTGGGTGGTGGAAAGCATTGTTCTTGAAAATTAGAAGTGTTGACCCATGAGCGCACCCAATACACGTGAGTGTGCATATTTTCAAAGTTATCTTTTCAGGTAATTTTTAAATTCTGTTAATTTTAGAGAAATATATTCTTGTGGTGCTAGAGAGATTACTAGGGATGTTTTGATAATTTGCTGGACAAACAGAATTTTAACCAGATTTGATTTTGTAGTCAAAAGTCAGGAATAAACCTGGAAATAAGAAAACAAATAAAATGCTGGTACTTAAAACAGCTGTTAAAACCATGGCATGTGAGGTGAGGGATAATACAACGCACGTACCGTGTGACCCCAGTTTTTTGGTATGGCATGTATACTCATGAAGCATATCACAGGGAACTTTTATGTTATCGGATATCTACTGTGGGAATAATGTGAAAACTGTCATCACCAAGTATCTGTTTCCACTTCTTGATTTCTTTATGTTCTGATACATAAATGGAATGTCTCATTTTTTGTTGCTACTGGCAACAAACTACAAATCATTAGGAAACAGGGATAGTGACAACTGTGGGTAGAGCTACCAGAGACATTGTGCAGTGTGCTCCATAAACTGAACTGTATTTTCCCCTTTCATGTAAAATGATAGGCCCCACATAAACTTCTCTGTTTACTTCCAAAGATCTCTTTGTAAAGCTGCAGAGCAAAAATGTGTCACAGGAGCAGCTGATGTAGTTGATCATAGAAAGCAAAATCTACCCTACCATCATCCAATAGTGATGTAAAAAATCTAATTAGGAGAGATTAGTTTAATCTGTTAGAGCTGTCTCTGTGAACATGTGGACAACAAAAAGAGATTCATTTTCTTAAAATAACTGGACTTAGGATTTTAGGGTTAAAATGCTTGCTTACTGGATAAAACTTAAAGTATCTGTGCCTCAGACATAGCAGCAGTACTTAAATATAGTCTACATCTGAGCAACAACAGCAGTACTAGTTTTTCTGCTTTGCATTGCTATTAATGAGTGAACTTCTATCTGTGGCTTTATACAGCTTTTTTTTTCTGTCTGGATTGAAGCAGGCTGGGTCTCAGCTGTGATATGAACATATGTCTGACAGAAATCAGATCAAAGCTACTTCTGAAAGAGGAGGTTGCCATAGGATGATAGAATAGAATCATAGAATCATTAAGGCTGGAAAAGACCTCCAAGACTGAGTCCAGCCTTTGACCAAACACCACCTTGTCAACTAAACTGTGTTTAACTAAGTGCCGTGTCCAGTCATTTCTTGAACACTTCCAGGGATGGTGACTCCACCACCACCCTGACCAGCCCATTCCAATGCTTGACAACCCTTTCAGTGAAAAAATTTCTCCTGAACCTCACCTGGCACAGCTTGAGGCTATGTCCTCTTGTCCTGTCTCTGGTTGCCTGGGAAAAGAGACCCTCACCTGGCTACAAGCTCCTTTCAGGTAGAGAGCAGTAAGTTCGTCCCTGAGCCTCCAGGCTAAACACCCCCAGCTCCCTCAGTGCTCATATGACTCACTCTCCGGACCCTTCCCCAGCTCTGTTGCCCTTCTCTGGACTTACTCCAGCAGCTCAGTGTCTTTCTTGCAGTGAGGGACCCAGAACTGGCCGTAGTACTCAAGGTGTGGCTGCCCAGTGCCAAGCACAGAGGGATGGTCACTGCCCTGGTCCTGCCATGGGCCTTCTTGGCCACCTGAGCACACACTGGCTCATGTTCAGCTGCTGTCAACCAGTACCCCCAGGTCCTTTTCTGCTGGGCTGCTTTCAAGCCACTCTTCGCCAAACCTGTAGCACTGTGGTTGTTATGGCCATTTTGCTCTGGCCTGGTTGTTGCTCTGGCCTCCCTCTGTTCATCTGGAGCCTCCCCAGTTAACCAGGACAGATGGTAAATGGTGGAGAGTGGCTTAGTGAGCTCTTCCACCAGCTCCCGCAGTAGCCTTGGGTGGATCCTATCCTGTCCCATAGACTCGTGAGTGTCTAAGTGGCTCAGCAGGTCACTACCTACTTCCTACTGGATTGAAGGGGATCTTTTCTGCTCCCCATCCCTGTCTACCACTTCAGAGGGCTGGTTGCCCTGAGGATAACCGGTCTTTATGTTGAAGACTAAGGCAAGGAAGGCATTGAGTACGTCAGCCTTTTCCTCATCCTTGGTTGCAATGTTCCCCTCTGCATGCAATAAAGGATGGAGATTTTCCTTGGCCCTCTTTTTGCTGTTAATGCATTTATAAAAACACTTTTTGTTATCTTTCACAACAGTGGCCAGATTCAGTTCTAGCTGAGCTTTCGCCTTTCTAATTTTCTCTCTATGTGACCTAACAACATCCTTGTACTCTTCCTGAGTTGTCCGTCCCTTCTTCCAAAGGTCATAAACTCTATTTTTCCCTGAGTTCCAGTGAAAGCGCCTTATTCAGCCAAAGCCAGTCTTCTTCCCCACTTTCTCATCTTTCAGCACATAGGGATGACCTGATCTTGGGCCTTGTCATGCTTTGTGAAGGAAGCATGGGTTAAATTGGGTTAAATTCTGTGGGTTTAGGTGGCACATTTGTGCAGAGAGTGGAATGTCCTGCAGTGGAGCTGGGAAGGAAACAGAGAGCTGAGTGCTGTGCTCTGCTGTCAGAGCTGCAGTATGCTCTGGGGTAAATCTAGCAGCAGTTGATAAATTCAGTGAGACAGGATTCTCAGAGGTCTCCCCAAAGTCCTGTGAAGAAGAAAGAAACAGGCAAGCACTGCCACATCCTTTTTAAATTTTTTTTAAATAAAGAACTCTGAACTGTTGCTCAACCTCTACTTTGAAGAACAATGACGGTGTGGCAGTGAGGGAAGCTGCAATAGTGCTTATACAGAACCATCACCCAGCATGAGAACCAGTGAGAGGTTTTACTGCATTGCTGTCCCAACCCTTACAGATGAAAATTTATAAAGAATTCAGTGTTGACTCTATGCTCTTTTGCTTCTGGATTTGACCATACTCCTTGGGGGAAATTTATGTTGGAGATTTGAAATGATCCATTTAATGCTGATATGTAACTTGATTTAGTAAATAGTAGTTGAAGTAGATCAGAACTTGCTGAAAAACTCTCTGAATGCATCTCTGGAGCTCTGAGTCTGAACACATAAGGTCATTTAGTTTAATATTTTTCTGCGTGAACAAGCAATTTGCTGGCATTTTAGAAGTTCTAGAAAATATAAAATTGAAAATCGGATTATAAGAATGAAATATTTTTTTCCCTCCTCTCCTGGTGTTGTGAATCAGTTCCTTTTGTGTTTCACTGTTTCTGTTCTTCGAGAGTGATGGTCCACGAAAAAATGTGGTGAACTACTTGTATATCTGCACACGTAGATATTGTAAGAACAAACTCCCCAGGCCTTTCACAAGGGAAATATACCAACAGTGAGGACATTAATTTTTTCAGAAAATTTTGTGAAAATTGATGGAGTGAAAAAAAATCATCTTCTCTGGTTACTGAAATTCTGATTTATCTAGAAATCCTAGAAGAAATTTCTGGCATCTAAAACATTGTCTTCAGCAGAAAAAACCACTTGTGCCACCTTCATAAAACAGGTGAAGCTTAAAGAAAGTATTGCAAATCCCATAAACGAAGTTTCGAAGTAGTGGAAAAGACTTCTGTGTTCTCCAGGGCCATGTCAGCGGATATACAATTGAAGGAATTTGCTGAAAAAGTTACCCAAGGGTGATGCTTGTTTATGATGATAATATTAAGGAATTTGAGAATTTATGAAGACACTGCACTGTTCTTAACCTGCTGGGAATGAGGAAGACTGTGACAATGTCAGTACTTCCGGAGCCTGGGCTAGCTCTAATGACTGATGTAACCAATTTCTTATTTCAGTTTCTTGTATTCTGTCAACAAGATATATGAGTTTTCTTTCTGAATGTATTCAGTAAATCATTCTTCCATGTTATAGTATGAACTGCTTGTGAAAAAAAGAAGATAAAGTTAAAAAGAAGTGCTATTTTTTTATTTTCTTGAGTTGGGGCTTTGTAAGAGTCTTCCAATGTTTCAATAGTATTCTGATGATAGAACAAGGTTATTTTGTTGGCTCTTACAATCAACCCCCAGAAAAGAAATCAGTTCCTGCAAAAGGAAAACGAAAAAAATAACATATTTTCTTGTGCCATGGGTATGAGTTGCATCCCTTGAGCATGTTGTCATCAGGCAGAAAGTGTGTGCCATTCTCAATAGTAACAGTTATAATTTGTGTTGGCGTCTTCATGGAAAACTGAATGAACAGTTCATAAGTGTATGGGCCTTTTTCAGACTTCAGGAGAATGTTAATATCTATGTAAATAAACTTCTTTTTTAGAAATTGAATTTCCTTTAGTACCTGTGCTCTTTCTAATTGCAGCAGTCTCAAGCCATCACTGATTTTATGAGCAGAGTGCTGCCTTTAAAGAGTGAAGATAGATGTCCACCATGACTAATCACTCCAGAAGTTCATGTACCTCCTCAACCCACGTGGAGTTCTCTACACATTGTTGCTAGGTACTGTTTTTTATCATGGTTCTACTCCATGATTTTACTATAGTGTTTTGCTCTACTTGAGTTAGTAGCAAATTTAAATTATTTGTTTAATTTTTAACAGTCCTTGTATCTCATATTTGAATTTATATTTCAAATTCTCTTTTTCCTTTTGAAGGTAAAAATTCATGATCGTTATAATGAGTCATGAACCTAAAAAACAGAACATGCAATAGTTTAAATTCTGTTGTATCCCTAGTAAAAAGTCATAGGAATTGCTGAATTTAAAAGCATAAGAATATGAGATCCTGTATTTTTTAATAAAGTGGCAACAAAATGGATTTGCTTTTACAAAACCCTTTCAAGACTCTGTTAATCAATATATATTTATAGTGTCTGAATGATAAAACTAATTGTGTCATAATAAGTAAGCAGTTTTGTATAAACTGATGTCTAGTAGTAAATCCATCTTTCCTTGGAAATGTAGTTTGAAAACACATATTTATTCTAATAAATGATGCAACAGTTAACTACCTTCATTACATGCAAGTCCAAGTTAACAGCCAGATTCAATGTTAATGACTTTTTTTATTCGAAAGAGATGCTTTTCGTCTCCACTGCTTTTTGGTGCTGATAAATGTGTCACAGGAAACAGCCTCCAAACAAAGGAAAACCACGATTTTTCATGTATGATAGTGGATCAAGTGCAAAATTAAATGATGCAGACAATGAAAGGAACCGATCTCTGTGATAACATAATCTTAAAATAAGAACAGAAAGCTGTTATTTTGCTCTAAGGTCTGTTTCAGCTGTTAGCTGAGAAATGGCAATGCATCCTTTGCCACAGGTTAACTAGAAGTGTTGATGCAGAAGAATGAACTTCTTTAGACAAGTCAGACTTCTGCTTTGGAAGAACTGGATCCTCCGGAAAAGACAAAAGGTAAAGTGTTAGGCTTTGGGTTTCAGCTTTGGACTATGCACTTCGCTGGATTAAATGGCTGGTACATTTATCAGCATATAAAAATCACAAATCTCTCAAAGAATCAAATGTGATCTTTGTATGGGCCACATGTCTCTGTGCATGCTGCTGGGATTTCTGGCTATTTATCTTGTGGTTCTGAAGGCTTATGGGCTGCTTTCTGATACTTCTAGTGAATTCTGAGACACCTGTGTGTCCTCAGGAAAAGGTTCACAGGAAAGAATCGGAGGTCTGACAGCACTTGGTCTGTCCTTATTGCACGACACACTGTGTACTAGCTTGAAAGAAAGCTTCCCTTGTGCTTTAGACTTTAATCCTTTCCAAACTAGTTAGCTCAGACAGAAAGGAATTACCAAATTCAAGTCCGAGGATTTTGTATTTCCTGGGGATGAAGAAAGAAGCTACATCTGAGCATTAACAAAGATCAGCTCTGCAACAAAGGTGATGACCAGTCTCCCAAGTTCTTACCCATCTGAGTTTGTGGGTGTGTAGTGCTTGTCCCAAACCTCTTACCAAATGGGTGGCAATGGATGTTAATCACACCTTGTGGGCCCTGCTGGGAAGGATCTGTAGCACTGTATTCTGAACTGTGCACAACAGCTGTCAGGTTTTCTTCTGTAATAATTGTGTCATCTGCCCTTTGCTGCTGGTAAGATTCTGTCTGGCTTTAAAAATATCAGGCATGCATAACTTCCTAGGTGGTGGTGGGTGGGTTTTTTTGTTATTGTTCTGTTTTAAAAAAGAGAGTCTTACCAGAAAAAATAGGGAATTGTTGCCTGGTGTAAAGCTTTCTACCCTTTTGCTGTAAGGATATGTTGTGCTTAACTAAAGCTATTAGACAAAATTATAGTGATAAAAACAGGACTGCTCCAAAAAACCTGTTCTTAAGTATGCTCTCTTGCCCAAAAATTGTATGTGACCCACCTTGTCTTTGGCTCTGCTGCTATATGCATTATTGTTATATTTTTGGTGCCTGACTGGGAAGGAGAGAGCAAAGGTAAAGAAGCAAGGAGTGCATTCCTGTGCATGTGCTACAACCCTGGTTCTGAAGATACTTCGTCCTCACTCTTGTAGGGAGGGGGGGAAAAAGTGCCACGTGTCTGGACACAAAAATCCCGTTGCTGTTCCTCAGAGCCCAAAGCCTGTATTACAGGATCAAAGGATTGTAGTTTCAAGCCTCTACCAGAACACACAGAGGCAGTAAAACAAACTGAAACACAGGAGTGGAGGAAGCAGACTGAAAACAGGCCGGCAGTGCATTGCTCTGTGGTAAAGCAGTGCCCTTGATTTTCTGTCATGACAGGGGAGATAGTGACTGTTGTAAGTCTTTTGAAAGATCTGGGCAATAAAGTGGCCTTTGATGGGATCTTCTATGTTATTGAATAAGGTGTTTGATCTTAATGTATACATTTCTACCTGTATTAGGAAATTAATAGTGTTGAAATAAATGATGACAAAAAGAACCAAAAGTAAAGCTCAAAGAATGTTAAGCTTATGCTGAAGTGTTTTACCTTTGGGTAAGCACAGTGCACAGACAGCCTACTAATGAGCCCAGCAGTGTTAAAGTGTGGATAAAAAACCCCACACCTTTTCTCTCTTGCATCTAATCCTTCTTGTAGAGTCACCTGCTGCCTCTTCTTACCTCAGTCAGGATGCATAGATATTTCTTTAGAGGAGGTAGAGAAGCCATTGAGTTAATGGTAATGCTTTATAGCACTGATGAATCCTCACTCTTTCTGGGTGTCCTTTTCAAATGATGAAAGAGGCAAAGAATAGCCATGGGCACGTGCTGCACTGGGCATTGCTGCTGTGAGAAGAGCCTCATCCTGTTAGTCACGTAGTGACTCTATGGTGGTCTATTTGTAAATTTTTTTTTTCATTTGTTTTTTTCTTTTTTCTTCCAGCTTCGTTTTCTAGTGGAGCTTGTCTGGCCTCTGTCATTATTTTTTGCCCTTGTTTGGCTGAGGAAAGCTAATCCACTGTATCGCCAACATGAATGTAAGAGCATTTAAGATGTTACAATGGTCGGACTTGTTTTAGGTAGTGGCTAGAGTTCTCAGACAGAGATACTGGGACCTACTTGTGAAGTATTATTCTGGCAAAGGAACAAACTTTAGTTCAAGTAGCTTAGTTATTTATAGCCATATATTGTAAGAATTACAAGTGAGGAGGAAGAAAAAAGCTCTAGTTTTCCTATGAGGTGCTTTCTGGTCAGACACACATGAAGTTTCAAGATTCTATCAAGTTTTGGATTTCTGTAATTCTGTTACTGAGAAAGTACTACCTCACTACCTATTGAAAAAAACCCTCACATTAGTTCAGAACTCGTTTCTGTTGAAAATAGCCTTATTGCTTATATTGGTGACTTCTTTTTTTTTGGTAAAAAATAAACCTATAGGATTCATATCACAGTCCTTCTGTAGTGAGCCAACTCATCATGCTATTTAGATTCTCACAGGCTGCATTAGAAAAGACACCTAACAATTTATATTTTGTGTTTCCATACTCTAGGTCACTTCCCAAACAAGGCAATGCCATCAGCAGGAACGTTGCCATGGTTACATGGCATCTTCTGTAACATGAACAATCCCTGTTTCCGCAGCCCAACCCCTGGAGAGGGTCCAGGTGTGGTGTCCAACTACAAAAATTCCATGTAAGCAGAGTTGTATGTGTGAGACTGGGTTGCAGCAATACAAGCCTGCTAGACAGCTGCTGGTAGCCTGCTCTTGGCAACTGTTGAGCGTTCATGGATATGAATGATGCAAGGAGAAAGGACGGAGTATCCTCAACCTGTTTAGAAGGGTCCCTCAGTGCACCCAGGAATATTTTAAGGAATAGTTCTATGGTATGAATGAAAAGGGAAGGGTGAGCGTTTAGTAAAACACCAGTGTGCAAACAGTGGAAGACAAAAATGTTCAGTTCTAGCACGTCGGTCTCATGCTAACAATGGCCAACAAAGTGGAAACAGAGCTCATGAGGATGGGTTTGGGCCTTTTGGAGAAAGACTTCAGTTGTACTAGTCTGTAGGGAACACACATCCATTTAATAAAATCCATCCTTTCTATTGTTGACTGCTTACTGAATGTCTTGGGACAGATCTTTTTGATATAAGAGCATGAAACTCCTAAGCCTTCTTTTCTCATCACTTGAGTCGTTTCTTCTGAATGAGAGTTCTAATGAAGTAGCAGCAAAGAAAAACCTGCACTGCCAGTTCTTATGTAGCACTTGTTTTGGCTGTATACTTGTGAGACTAATCAACACAGTAACCTTCAGTACTAAGCTTGTTAGCAAAGCAGAAGGATGGGAGATTTCTTGACTGTTATTGAAAAAGAGCTGTGGAAGTGTTTTATTGTGTTGTTTGTTATAGCTGAGTCATGAAAGACAGCACAAGAGACAAGGACCCTTAGAGTAAAAACCTGTTAGAATAAATATAAAAAAATGCTCCAAATCTCCCTTTGCAAAGTCTGCTTTGGAGCATCCAATCATTAAAATTCATGAGCTAACAATCTCAAGGCCATTGAAACTCCAGTCATGTGAAAATCTGTAGCTTGGGGTTAACTTACTAGCTGACCTTGTTTCCTAGTGAACAGGGTTTAAAATGATCAGCTGAACATTTTTTGTGGGGTACAGTCGATCACGCAGTGAAGCTAGAGGGGTTTGTTTCTTTTATATTCTGACTTTTTTAGGTTACTTGTTACAGAGCAAACTGTCACTTTGTCAGTCAGAGTAAATTCAGTGCATTACAGCGGAAGTAAATACATTGTGTTTTCTGAAAGAATTCGGTCCTTCCTGTTTGCTATTTCCTCAAGCTAAAATAAGTCATAAGGACTGATATATACCATTCCATGTATGGAAAAACATAATAATATTAAAGAAATGTAATGGTCTGCCCTGATAATAAGAATTTTCTATACTCGTTCATGAACACAGGACCTGATGGCATCCTTGCATGATCTGCATGTTCTAACCCAGACCCAGTAGGTGAACAGCTGTCCATGACCATTTGTCACTTGTGTTTTCCTGCCACTCCTAGAAGAAATATTCTGAAGGGACCTAAACACCACGGTTACATTGGTGGGGACTGATGTTAGAGAGGGAGGAGGATTCTGTGTCTGAATGATTCCATGTCACTTACCTGGCTGAGCAGGGCTGCACGTGCCCCATTCAACTGCTGGAGCTGAGCCTGGGCTAGAGCCAGAGAAGATTTGCACTGTAACTGCGAGATGCATGCAGTCTGAGGAAGGTCCTGTCTCCCCAGCAAGATCAGCATGGCTAATGTGGGAGAGGCCAACCTCCTGCAACACCAGTAGCCCTCTTAAACCTTCTGTGGACTTCAAATCTAACTGAATCTCACAGTACCTGAGACTGAGAACAAAATAATTTATTTTTTTCTCATCCCTAACACAGAGAAAGTCAACATTGCCTTTTTTTTTTTTTTAAATATAAAAGATTCTCAAGAGTCATCAGTCTTAAATTATTGTTTGTACACTTTCTCCTTTCAGCCTTGCAAGGGTATATAAAGATGCTCAGGAGCTTTTACTGGAAGGCCCTGAAATCCATGACCTTGGCAGAATCTGGGAAGAACTGATCATTATGACTCAGTTTATGGAAACAATGAGAACTAATCCTGAAAGAATTGCAGGTAATTGTTTTGTCTATATCCTTTAGACTACTTAATTTTTCTCTCTGAGAACTGGATAGTAGTTACGCTGCAGAGTGGCAACATTATAATATATTTGACATGTAGTCATTACTCTGCTTACTGTTAGGGTAAATTAAAACACACTCAGTGTTGTAACACCTGTCATTTAAGAGAAGGGAGAGAGGCAGTCAACTCCATTCTACAGTCATCATCCTTAAGTAACAGTCGACAAAACTCAAAACCCAAAAGTTTGGATTTCTCACCACCCCAAGTAAAACTTGTGGCTGAAGAGATTTCATTATTAATTATTACAGTAGAGGTAGAAGCAGTAAGAAAGCGTCCTGGAAGATGCAGAGGAATGGAAAGCTGGGAACATGCCTGAACATATACTAGAAGCATAACCCAGAGAAGTGCTTAGAGGTACTTTGTTAGAAGTGTTACCTAAAACAGGTTTGGAACAGTGAAGAAGGAAACACTTTCCCCTTGTTTTGATTATGTGTTTTGAAAGAGAAGGCATTATAAACATAAAGAAGACTGAAAAAGCAAATTGACTGCATTAATTTTTATTTAAAACAACCTTCCAAATTCAAAACACAGTCTTGGGAGAAAATAGGAAATGGTATAATAATAAATTTTTATTTAATATTTGGACTTAAAGTACAGAATATGAAAAGATACCCCTAAAACTAAAGGCATAAAACTGGACTGGCTTTGAGAATTGATATGTCCCATTCTCAAATCCTTTGCCATTTAGCAAATGTCAGAGTTGAGATTGCTCCTTTTGCTGATTCCTTAAACCAGATCTCTTGAGTCCTCCTTCCTTGTCCCATTGTCCCCTTGCACTGACACATTTGATGTGTTCTTGTAGTGTGCTTTTTCCTCTGTGATGCCTGGGTGCCAGGAAAGGCATCAGTGACAATATGAGGGACAGACGCCTACTATTGTTCTCAGTGTTTACTGCTTGAATAAATACATAGAGGAACAATTGAAGAAGTCCTGCTCAGCCCCTACAGCCCTAGGCCAGAATATGCTTATTGCAGATGGAATTGTGGAAGTTAGTTGGCAAACTCTGGTAAGACTCTGCTTAACTCACAGAATGGAGACCCCCAGCAGCACATTTGTGCATGTTTATGTGGAGATGTCTAAAGCTACATTCCCCATGTCTGTAGGATATGTGCTGTTCCTGGCAGTTTCAATTGCCTGAAGACTAGAACTAGTGCTTTTCAAGCTTTCTTTACCAGAGTTTCTTGATGCTGTGTGAACTACCTTTTAAAAAGGCTGTAGTAGTCAATGGACATGAGCAGCATTAACTTCCCAAGCTTTCTCTTGGAACATACTGAGGTATAATTCCCATTGGTATGATTTGTAACACAGACAAGTTAAAAAAGGTTGGCACTGTTTAACTTTATGAGCAGCAGTATTTTGAATATTGTTATAGGCAGGATTAGGGAAATTTGGTGACCTCTTATATGAGTCTAATTTAACAGCAGATAGTCTCATTGGTTTGCCTGAAGATTTGCCAGCTTTTTGTTTAGTAGTTGCTAATCTAGTTTAATATGAAGCAGAAACTACAATTTGTGCTTTTCCAAGGAAACTGAGTTTTTTCTCATGGAAGATTCTCAATGGTCACTTCTGCAATGCTAGAGAATAAGATTAACTAGCTAAAATTAGTTGACAGTGAGTGATAAATTAGTGTAAATGTAAAGGTTTGGCTAAAGTTATTTACACAAGACCCAGAAGGAAGGACACTAACAACAATAGCGTACTTGAATCTGAACATTTAAAATAAAACATTGCATTGAAAAAAGGCAGACACTTTCAAATGCAGTCAAGGCTGCTTTCAGTGCACCCATTGCTGTGGCTCTAGTCTGAAATACCTTTGAGAGATCAGATATGCCAAGTCAGAACACTCAGCATTTTCTGATTATCATTCCCCAACAAAGGATTAAAATGATTTTGAATTGCAAGAATAATTTTAGACCCTGTTAGTCACTACTAAGTATAAGAACCAAAGTACATTCTTTTTGCAGGTTTGAGTTGTTCTTTAACTTCCTTTGTTTGATGTCTCACTGATCTGTGGATTTCTTTCTTCATCCAGGAAGAGGAATACGAATTCTAGACATTTTGAAAGATGGGGAGACCCTCACCTCCTTCTTGCTGGAAAATGTTGGCCTCTCAGATTTTGTTGTTTTCCAGCTTATTAATGCTCAAGTTCGCCCTGAACAGGTGGGTAGAGTTTAACAGTTACCAAGTTGTTACTGTGAGGAAAGAATCTTACGAGTTGGATGTGCGAAGTAGCCTCAGTGAGAGCCTTAGGCTTAGAGCACCTAATGTCTTATGGGTTGTTTGTACAACTTCTCCCTCTGTTTTTTGTGAATCTAGAAGAAGAGATGTTTGTTTTGTCTTTTAAAAAGCATTTTGAATATGCATTAAATGTACATATTTGTTCAGTGCTGTTGTTCCTTCCAAATAATGAGCATCAAGAAACGATACTGCCACACAATGCATCCATTCCCATGACTGAAGACTTGACTCAAAAGCATAAAGCATCCTTTTGAGACAGTCCTGATGAACAGCCAGAGAGAATTTTTGGAGGTTTTTAATTTATTATTTAAATTCTCTGCCCCAATGTCAACAGAGTAATATGGTGGCTTTTTGGCATTGTCTCACATCATGAATAGGTGCCAGTGGAGAAACAGGTCCACTTTTGTAGATTCTGATTGAATAATAGATCTGCTCAGAAAATTCAGAGTGAAAACTGCAAGTCAAATCCCTCCTGAAGCAGCAAAGCAGAGGACCGTTTGACAAAGTCCAGGCTGTTTCTGCCTCTGCATGTACTGGTGGCTGGGAGCTCTGTGGGGAATGCTGTATTAATGAATGAATGTTGCTGAATCGGAGTTCTGGAACAATTTCTACAGTGCCGTAGTGTGTGGGTGGAAACGAGTGAATAACTGAGGCTGAAAGACACAATTCGTCTTTTTCACTGCCACATAAAACACAAATGCTGGAACTGTGTGTGGCCAGAAAGAGGGAGGGCATTCATGCACTTGCATGCACTTCCTTTTTTTGCATCACAAATTCCAACTGGTGTGACCAGTAGTCAGATTACTTATCTGCTGTATTCTTGATTAATACCGGGGAAGCCCGCCCCTCTCCTCACTTTATCATGAAGCAATACCACAAGATCATACCAAAGCCAGTGTCAATTGATACATCCTACTTATTTTCACACCTCCATATCAGCTGAGATGGTGAAAATTTGCTTCCTTGCTGCTTGTGACAAGAAGAATATATACAGATATCCTGCTGGGCTTCTCTTTCCCTTTTTGTCCCTAACCTCTTCTTCAGCAGAGATCTGCTGTGTCAGGAGAACTGAGTGCTGCTGTATTAGTTTCTATTAGCTCCCCAGTGGCATTCATTCTTCTACTGTTAAAGCCTCTGCTTGCAAATGTATGCAGGACTGAAGATTTCAACACCACCACTGAAAGTATGATTGAAACCGGCTGATGTCTTTCTGCTGTATTTTCTATGCTGATGCAGAAAGAGATGTAGTTCTCTTTATGCTGGAAATTAAAGAAATCTGAACATTTGTTAGACAGGAAGCTGGAGGAGATCTTGTGTTAAATACCACTTTTGCTGTCCTCCATACAGTTTTCTTGGTAGCAGTAATCTCAGGGATACAAGATCATCTCACCAGAGCTGATTTACAGCTGTGAGGGAAGGAAGTGCTGTGAATAATTCCTCCAGGGGAAACTGATGCAGAAAAACTAATCTCATAATTTTCAAGAGATGACAAGAGAATTATTTTCAATGGGAATTGAACACTTTATTTCATGTAGGAGACAAATTGCTTAGTACCTGTAGGGACCTTCTTGACAGGCAAGTTTCTTGGGCTGGACTTACATATGGTTGAGGTAGAAGTTGCAGAGCCGTAACTAGACTCTAGATCTATGGTAGTCTTAATCCTCAACCATGATGCTTCATCTCTAGTTCTTGGTGCTGCTCTGCCCTCTGTTTGCTTGCATATTGCTGTACACGCTTTCCCCCTCGCTCTGATGGCACAGAGCTGATCAAACTGAAAGCAACTTGTTTACAAAAGCCTGACTGTTGCCAACAGCTGGCTGCAGATCTAGGTCTGAGCCGCCTGGGAGTCAGGAAATGACACACAGAGCTGAAAGCTAAACCTGATCAAACAGCCAACTAGCTGAAAAAATAATTTGGACTTCATCTTGCCAGCTTCAACCAAACAGTGACACATTGATTAAAAAAAAAAAAAGTATTGAAGTTTCCCTCTGAGGGCCTACTTTTTTGAGTCATTTTAAGATAAGGATAAGAGACTGATGTTAAAACACAATAAGTTCAGGAAAGATTGGCAGCAGCCCACCCTACCGGAAAAATTGGAAGGGCGGAGGTTTGATGTTTTTCTAATCCCATCTGTTCATGAACATTCTTGAAATGCAGTTACAGTTTGTAAATAACCTTTCTTTTTTCTTTTTTTTAATATGTTTATCCTTCTCAATGATGTTAATGTCACTGTTTCCTCTTTTCACAAGTCAAAGCAAGGCTCCCAGGCTGCCTCTATGTGCAACCCTGTTTCATTGCAGTTCACCCTGCATGATGAGGACCATGACAGATGAGGCATATATGGCTGAAAAATACCCTTCTTATCACACACGGCCCCAGGACGTAAGAGACTGAACAAATAAGCAAATTCTTCCACTGGCATAAATTCAGTTAATTCAAATTCAAATGTTCCAATTTGAGGGAGGGCAGGAGTGTTTGGTTTTGAAAGTTTTTAGCAAGACAGACTGTATCTGTCAGCTGTATTCCCTCTTTTGCATTCTGCCTCTCTCCAGGCTCTCTCTCATGTTAACAATGCCTTTATATGAGTACAGCTGTAGTTATGATAGCGCCTCTCAGACACTTCTGCTAGAAATCCACATCCCCTTTTTTGCATCATAATTCCAATACACAATCTATCTGTAGCTCAGATGTCTTTCTTTTTTTCTTTTTTTTTTTTCCTCAACTGCAGCTCCATAAGCTGGAACTCAGGGCAGTCATGGTAGACAAAATATAATGTTGTACTAGACCTCTCCGCCTTTTCTGTTCTGGATGCTGACTTTCCACAGCCACACTTGCACTTTTGTGATAGCTTCTGACAGATAAAGCACTTAATGAATAACTCCTCAAGCTTGAACCTTCTCTCCAAAGCAACTGAATTAAGTTTTTTCTCATTCCTTTGTGTGTTTAAATATTCTCTTTACAGGCACCACCAAACAAGTCTCAGCTGCTAACTATAGGACATTTGCAGATAGAAAATTTTGATAATGTTCAGAATCTCTTAGATGAACTTCCTAATTTGCTTAAATAAGAAACAAATATGTGCTTATGTCTGACCTGGTATGGGTGTGGTATGTTTGTTTTGATCCATATGTCTTAGAGATTAGAATGCTCAGCAGATTGTTTTTCTAAAGAAAATTATATTCTGGGTAGACTTTGACAATATCTCTTTCCATGCAGCTTATTAAATTCATTTAGCCTAATGATATTGTGTCAGTGCATAGTTCTCATTTGTCTGAAGGTCTGTGTTTGTCTCAAACACAGGAGGCATTTACAGCCATCAAAGTGTTCTGAGCTTTTTCCCTTAAAATTTGTACTGTGAAAGGAGATGGAGACAGGATGGGAACATTAGCTCAGGAGCAATTTCCAGTGCTACTTTTTGTTATATTGCCATATATTCTGTCCCTTATAAAATAAGTGGAACTGATTTTAGTAGACTATCAAGAGCATTCCATAACAACAGTGTTTGAAGATTCTATGGAGTCATTCTGCATTTACATTCGTTTAACTATAAACTAATCTGTTGCCAGTGGTTGAACACTAAAGATAAAAATTGGAGCTTTTTCTGTTCCATGTTTATATTAGAAGTGGTAATCAGTAGATGGGTGTGATTTAATGATAAAAAAGGCTTTGTAAATCCTGGCTGTATGCTGTGCACAGTGACAATGAATAATGGCTGTGGGGAAGCATTGCGGTGGAATAGTCATCACTATGAAATAAAATCATAGGGAAATCAAGCTTGAGATTTAGTGGAATTGGCCCTTTTTTTTTTTTTTTTTACACAATTGACAGCAAAGGCATAACCAACCTAAACACAAATGGTAGAGGGATGTAGCACCATTGGTTAGTACTGGGAAAATAATTTCAAGCAAGCTGTAGCTCTCCCTCCTTAGCCACAAGAATGGGTGGCATGACTTCATGTGTGCTTAGATGACAGAGGAAGGGAAGGCAACTCACAAGAACTTTTGTAATGGAAGAAAGAATCACTAATGAGAGAAGGAAAAATGTGACTGAAGGCAAGGTGATCTAGCATAATATCAAGTGGAAGTGATTCAGGAGTTGATGCTCCAGCTGACCACATCTTTCTACCGTTCATTAAAATATTAGCAGGGACTGGTGTCAAGGTGCCCGCTTGTGATAAGTTCTGATTGTTTCTGAGGAGCATGAAGGTTTCACAACAGTAAATGAAACATTGGTTTTGGTTGCAGTTTGCCTATGGTGTCCCTAACTTGACTCTGAAGGACATTGCTTGCAGTGAGGTGCTCCTGGACCGCTTTATTATCTTCAGCAGCCGAAGAGGTCTTCCTTCTGTACACAAGGCCATGTGTGCTTTGTCCCAGGAAAGTCTACAGAGAGTAGAAGATGCCTTGTATGCAAACGTTGATTTCTTTAAGTTATTTCAGCTGGTAAGTGTTAACATAATCATCCTGCCTTATGTTGTAATTTATTTTGGTTGATATTTCGCTGCCCTTCAAGAACTTTTGGTAATACGTCACCAATTTTCCAAGTGGTCTTTGTTTATTTACCCCTGCAAATGTAAGGATATGGGTGTGGGATAATTAACCTACCATCAGCAGGACACTAGGCAGTTCTGAGTATGCTTTGGGATGAAACAGATGAAATTCACAGTAAAGCAGAACTAAGAGACTGAAATGCAATCTTAAAATCAAAGTTTGTGTGGAACTTATCTGGTCTTTCCATCTGTGTAGCAAAACGGTGTATAGCAAGAGCAAGGGACCTTGCTGAGGGTTCTGAAAATATCTCGTACAACCCATTCTATCTTTGTTCCATCCAGCATGACAGAATTTTATGCTGCAGTTAAAACCGTGTTGCAGCTTGACTTGACATAGCCATGTGAGCTTTTTTAGTAAAAAGAGGTGAAACAAACTGGGGAGTTGTACTGGCTTTCATCTCTCTATTGAAGCTTTTCCTCACCTCTGTTCATTTTCATTGCCCTTCTTTGTGTTATAACCACATCTGCAAACTTGGTTTACTATGGAGATACTATGCCATTTTATACATATAAATAAACATTGATATATTTACTTTTAAATATATAATAACGTATAAATTGTATATATATAAATATATATAAATATATACATATATATATATAGGCATACTGGTGTGGGGTTTTTTTCTTCCTTTACTTCTGTGTTCTTTTCCTGATATTTTTCTGATATTTCATTTATATTCTGCATGCTGATATGGTGCCTTCAGGCCACTATTCATAAAGACTCCAGGGTCTCTTGCCTTATGATAGTGAACTTAGAGTCCAGCACTGTGTATACATCTTTCATGTTTGTTTTCTCTATGATCATGCTTTTCCTTTTTCAACACTGAATTTAATTTGCTGTTTTTCAGCTTGTAATTTAGGGTCATGAAACCAATACATTGTCAGTTTGCCATATAGAACCAGACAGGATATATAAACAACTGCTAAAGTTACATAGGAAGTATTGATTGGACTTTTCTGCCACAGCAGTGTAGCATCATCATTGATTTAACATGGATTTTATTCAACTCTGAGTTGCTCAGAACTGAGAACAGAATATGCCAGAAGCTTTAATTGACACACCAGCAAGTCACTGATTATTGTAGCACTGATGGTCAGTCATTGTGCCCATGTGATTTTACCAATCCTGATAAGAATCTGTGGTGAGCTACTTAAAGCTGCTGGTTTCCATTTGTAAAAATATACTCTTATATTTTCATACATATGATTCTTGCAGAAGTAGCACAGAATTAATGCTACAGTACTTCTAAGATAGCTTTATGTGAATATGCACACTATGCTACCCAGCTATTTTACAGGTTTTTACAATACCTGTTCCTCACAGTTTCAAAAAGGCCAGGTTATGGCAAGTGCTTCAAGAGCCTTGTATTGCAGAGACTGTTTCCCCTAAGGGGACAAGAAAAGTGTATTTTTAAGCACTGTATGTGTATAGCTCCTGCCAGAAGTGCAAGTGACAGACCAGAACATGCTAACATAAGCTTTCCATAAAAACTCTTGCCTCTGTGACTCCCTGCTAGGTCCCTACACAGTGCAGCTGTCCTTTGCTTTCTTAACCACCTACTGACTGAAGGGAATGGCAGGCAATCAGTAGGGTGTATAGCTGGGCAGTTTTGGGGAAGGCTTTTTAGGGGCTTGTCTCCTAAGCATTACAGTCTAGCTGTTTGCAAGTCCAGCCTTGTATTTTTTTTTTTGTAATAGCAGAAGAAATATATATACCTGAGAAAGCCTCAAAAGTGCTATCTCCAAATGCATATGTGATTCTTTAGACAGCTGACAAAGAAGGATGCAGTGATGCAAAGTGGTATATGACAAGCACACCATGTTGTCACCTGTTTCTTTTAAGCCATTAATACCTAAAGTGTTAACTTCTGCTGGAAAGGCAATTTGGTCAGTCTGCAGGAGCTGGGAAAGCACTGGTTTCTGTCAGGTCTGACAGTGAGGACCAGACTGTCTCCAAAATCAGCAAATCTCTGAAGTATGAAGTACTCCAAGTTATTTACCTCCGTGGCAAATGGGGACTTCTGTATCACAACCTTTGCTAAATTTGGAAGTTACCGAAAGTCTGTAGATCTCACTGGAAGAGTAGCCTCTGTGAGAAGCAAATTCTCAGAAATCCCAGTTCCTACGTTCCTCCTTCATTTTTTTACCTTTTGGTATGTTGAGCTTAGATGAGCAAAACAAATCCCAAGCTATATTTTTAGTGGACTATGATTGTTTCAGCCTTGTATTAGAAAAAACACACAGGCTACTGTGTGAGTCTGCACATGGGTACTGGATTTGTGGCCCCACAAGATAATGTTCCAAATAACTCGAAGTATTTGAGCTAAAGAGATGCCATCTGGATTTTCTTCTTACTGTAATGGCTGTTGTCATGTAGAAAATAAACAAAACTCATCTGTATTTCTTATGTATTCACAGCTTCCCACTGTGTTGGACAGAAACTCGCCAGGTGCTGACCTGAGGGCCTGGGGGAGGGTGCTGTCTAATGTCTCCCACGCGGTGCAAAAGGTAAGCGGTCTAATAATAGATGACTTTTCTGCATAGCACATAGTTCTTGTTTTCCTTTGTTCTTTTTATGTTCCAGTTACCTGCTTTACCAGAAGGAAAAGAGATTTGTTTGGAAGAACTGATTCCTTAAAAAATCATTCTCTTATTACAGAATAAATGTAGACATAAGCATTGGCAATTATGAAGTGTATTCGTTTCTTCAGAAAAGATATGAAAGAACAAAAACTGAATATGACGCCAGTGACCAGGACAGAGGAGATAAAAGGATGTGGTTCTGACTGCATCTGTGCTTCACCGTCTGGGCACAACTGAGACCTCAGCAGATAATTAACCTCCTTTGAGGGTTGCAATTAATAAAGTCTTGTTTTACTGCAGCTGGCCAGGAAGCCAAGTGTTCAGGACCTTTTGATGGTCCTGCAACCATTGCTACAAGCTGGAAGGCCAGAATCCTTAGGCCAGTTGGTGAGTTCCCTGTCGGATCTTTTCTGTGGCTATCCAGAAGGAGGTGGATCCAGAGTGCTTTCCTTCAACTGGTATGAAGATAACAACTACAAAGCTTTCCTGGGGATTGACTCATCAAAGAAGAAATCCAGTTATCTTTATGATAATACAACGAGTAAGTTTTTCCACCACACCATTAAGAGACTGTAGACAGGTGCAACTTTCATTAGAGTACCACTGTTCCTTTTATAAAATAACATTTTTAAGCAGTTGATTCAGGAAATTAGAGACAGGTGAAATGATTTTACTTCATACTTACTTCATAGCTGGAAGGAGAGAAGCCCAGAAATATGCATTTGCTTTTAATATGGAGGCATAAATATAGTCATCATCGTAATTAAAGACAATCCCTCTACTTTATCTTCTATTATATGCTACTGATACAACTAAGAAAAAGATGCCTCTGAAGAAGAATTAGGAAAAGACAGTGCTGCATTCTGGAACTACTTTTCTCCAAAATACTTTTTCTAAATTCTATTTTTTTCTTTTAACTTGTTTGATGGCCTGGAGCACAGGAATTTAAAAATCTCTCTTTTTAAATAATACTCCATTTGATACAGGGTGGCTGTTCTCTTCCTGCATAGAAGTACATATATTTTGTAGTAAAAATATTCTACAGCATGATTGTATTTTACATAGAAAATATTTCAGCTTTGATTTCCTCACTTCTTGCTACAGTGATAAGAGAGAATGCAAAGAGGAACCAATTTTTTTACCTTTTGTTGTTTTATCTTTTTACTATGTCCTTTTTCATTTGCCGTTTAGTTTTTCTCTACGCTGAGCTCACCAGCAATTTTTTCTGTACTACCATCCATGTTATAGCTGGCAGTATATTTCCGTGTCCCTTCTGCTGTGATACATATGTTGCACAGTCATGAAGTACAGATGAGCACTTTGCTTATAGAGAGACTCCTACCTTTCCCTGTTTGTGTTGATACTTGGCTCTACTTTTGTCTGAACCTTCAAAAGACCTGTAAAGGCTGGGTACTTCATTTCTTCACTGAGGAACAAAGTAATTGCATGTTATCCAAGTAAACTAATGACTTCATAGTGCAGGAGTAAGATAAAAATATTTACATTAAAATGTTTAATTCTAAATTATTGTAGGATCCAATTCTGAACTGTTCCAGAGTTCAACATCCAAGCCTGCTGGGTCCACTTTGTATCAGTATCAACTACAATACAAAGGAACTAAGTCATTAGAAGTCAAACAATTAAAGCTCCAAATTGCTCAGTGAGTTTTGAGCTGTCTGGTTTCCTTCCATTTGAGATACCATGGAATACAGCAAATTTCAAATGGTTATTTATGTGTGCCTTCCAATTTCCATAGTGTGTACTTTACAACTCCAACATCTACTTAATAGTCTTTTCTATCTATTCAGATGTTGTACTTCTATGTCGCAGAATGTACTTTAACCCGTTCAGATTCAAAATGCTTTAAACTGTCTATACTGCCAATAAAAAGCCTGGCAGGATGTTATATATAGTAGGATTTGAGTAAGGTTACATAAAGACTGTGTTTCTTTCTGTCTTTAGCACCCTTTTGTAATGCATTGATCCAGAACTTGGAATCAAACCCTTTAACCAAAATAGCCTGGAGTGCTGTGAAGCCCCTGCTGATGGGAAAAATTCTCTTTGCTCCTGATTCACCTTCTGTACGGCAAATCCTAAAAAATGTAAGAAGTTTTGAAATGCAAAAGTGTGTATTTCTAAAAAAATTGCATCCTAAAACACCTTTTGAAAAACAGTGACACAGCTACCTCAGTCTAATTAGATTTTCTTCTCAGAACTCCTTTTTTTCTGATGGCAATCAGAGGAAGGACAGTTACTCTTTGTTTAAAAAACAGGAGACAGATCTTCACTGATTCATCCCATCTTGGTCCACGCTACATGCTTTTTCCAGCTCACTGAAGCAACCTTTTGTTGGCATGATTCCATATTTATAGTAGTAAAAATAGTAATATTTATATTTATTTTACAGAGGTAGGAAAATGAACAGCTCTGTGCCTGTAAATATTTAAATGGGGCAGCTGTGAGGCTTGGACAGACTCATTGAGACCTAACACTGAGAGACTGCAAACCAGTAACAACATCATGGTTTAGTATTGTATCTGTTGAAATGATTAATAATTTTCACGTAATGAAAATAGGATGAAGCCTGGACTTCAGTGAAATGCTTGAAGTTGGGTGAAATGAATCTGAGCAATTAAATCAAGGTCACATGTGACCTAGGTTTTGGTCACCTCATAACCAACCAGCAACTCACTTACTCTCATCTATACAAGGCACAGAACTGCTGCTTATAATTCACACAGGAGAACATCAGATTTAGAGCAGTCCAGCATTTCAACTCTTAACTAGTATCTTAACTACGGGAGTACCTGTCTTCTGCAATTGCCTCCCATTCATTCATCTACCTGCATCACCTTTCTTTTTAGTTCTTGATGGAGAGAAATAATCCAGGGGGAAAAGAAAGGAATAAATAATTCTACCTAAAATCTGACTATGTAAAGGAATTATAGTTAACTAGGATTAATGTGCACTTGTTTTTTCCATTACATGTACAACATAATTTTAACCTAAGTGACTTTGATTCTGGTTGGATTTTACAGGTTGTTTTTCTGAGGATTATTAACATTTCTGCTATTTTAACACGTTTATTTAGTTTTGAAGGTAAAAATTACAGCATTTGTAAATTATGGATTTCCCATAATTTACTATCACTGAATCCTAGATGGATCATAAATTCTGTCTGTTTATCTCCTTAGACTTCTAACACTCTTTTCTGCTGTTTTTTTCATCAGGCAAACACCACTTTTGAGGAACTGGAACGCATCAGACTGTTGACCAAAGCTTGGGAAGAAATAGGACCTCAGCTGTGGTACTTCTTTCAAAACAGCCTGCAAATGAACATGATCCGTGTATGTTATAACTTAGCAGGGATCCTCAGTAAGATCAGCCTTTCACCATCCTTTATTTTTACTAGTGGAAAAGACAATTAATTAGAAAGGTTTGGCTGGAAGCACAGCCTTTGCAGCAAGGAATCTGTGGCCTTCAAAGCTGTAGGCTTGCTTACTGAGCTTGGTTTGAAGGCAAGTCATAGATGCATTAGAGCATCTCTGTGACCAGACCTCAGATCTGAGCAGTCAAGAATCTGGCTAATGACTTCTTAATAAAGGCAGCAACTGCTGCTTCCTCACCTCTCCAAAATGTTCTTCAAGAACAAACAACTTGATATTCTTGGATTTGGTACAGGCAAAGAAGGCAGTAGGACCATGCTTTTGCTGGGCCAACAGTTTACTACTGTGGGAAGTTGCTTATTTCCTCATCTCTTAGATTTGACTTTGATCAGCTGCGATTACTGTCCATAGTTAAAGTTTATAAAGCAGTTCATACTAGAAAAAACATTTGTTTTCCCTCATTTTTCTATGTTGAATTAGACATTTGTAACATATCCTCTTGCTTAGAAGGAAGCAATGCAATAGTCAAGGGTAAATTTCTTTTCATCCATTCTTCAAATCTCACATCCAGTTATGCAATTACTCATTTGTAAAATTAAGTCCTTAGCATACCCTTTCACACTTCTTTCTGTCTTGAAAGAGCTATGGAAATGGAAACCTTTCTAGCTAAACAGGGCTAGAAAGGCAATCACTGTAGTGAAGCTGTCCTGGTGTGTTTCTTCAGGACTCTCTGAAGCACCCTACAGTGAGGGACTTCTTGAACAGCCAGCTGGGTGCTGAAGGCTTAACCGCTGAACACATAATCAACTTTCTCCACAATGGATCTCCGAGGAGCCGCGAGAAGGGAATGACAGACTTTGACTGGCGGAACATCTTCAGTGCTGCAGACCAAGTTCTGCGTTTGCTCAGTCAGTATTTGGAGGTAAGGTCAGCCTCACCCCCACTGGGAATACTTGTAGAGGATATCTTAAACTTGGTTAGGCAGTACTGGGGTCTGTGGTAATAGACAAGAACGTTGAAATCATAAGACATCTTCATTTGTTTCAAATTTAATCTCATTATTAAAAGCATATGTTTTAAATAATACAGTGGTACAAGAACATCAATGCTTATTATTATGCAAAGAAGTTCAATTTGATGATCTTTAATTCTATATTCAAAATGTTACTTGAATGTCTGAACACACTTGAATGCTGAAAGGCAGAAGAAGAATGTAAAACCTCAAGGAAGTATTGTTTTGTAAGTACTAATAATCAACAGGCCACTAATTTCAGCAAGATCAGGACCAGAGAAACTAATAGTTCTTTGGTAAGTCACCCTTCAGGTTTTTAAGCACCAGACCAAAATTCCATTGAAGTCAATGAGGGAGTTTCTGCTTGTTCTGTAGCCACTTCTGACAAGATGTCTGTCTCTCTTTCCTGAAATCTGTACCCCTCTACTCTAACATGTTGTTTTCAGTGATGCCCTCTGAGGATTTTTGAGAGCCGCAGTGCAGGAAGTGAGTGAAGTTTAATTACGTAAATAAAAAATGCTAAAGATGTAGATTAAAATATCAAGGCATTGTGAAGATACTTTGAATGAGAGGTTACTCTGGTATAGGCAATCCAGCTTACTGATGGGTTCATCAAGCTATGTCTAATGTGAAAAAGGTTATATTTTTTAGAGGACTTAATACTTGGGAACTCAGCACTTACCGTATGAGAGTCAGGGTCTTTGTAGAGATCAATTACATCTTACAAGCATCGCTGAAAGAAAAATAAATATTTAGTTATTATTCCATGAGTAAATAAGCTGAGCTCAAGCTCACAGTGAAGATTGGTACTAGTTATAACCAACAGGACTAAACCTAATTTCAATCTGGTTCAGGCTAAAAGACCATTCATCCCTTGCGAGAAGACAGGAACTGAGAGTGTATCTGCCTTCCTACAGCTATTGCAAGAGGGAGCAATAAAGGCTTTGCACAAAGCTCTGCTGATTCTTTTGGTGATCTTTTTGCATCACGTTAGCAGAATTATTTCTTACTCAAACTGAGTGAAATGTATTGCTTGCAGCAGGTCAGTGCTGGAACATCCACAATATCAGGGCAGTTACTGTACCTGGTAATAGATCTTTGTGTCCTAGCATTCTTTGTAATGAGCTTATTCTTTTAAGTCTGCTGTTTACACTGAGTTGTTAGCATTTGAGAATGTCTTCCCACCATGCCAAACACAATGAGAACAAATAGCTCCCTTTCAGGGACATCCTACTCCTTACTATAGTATGCAATGAGGAGAGGTGTGCTGCCAGCAACTATGTTTGGAGACTCCAAATCTCTGCTGCAAGCTGTGGTGCAGCTGAGAATACTCTTATGGTAACCTCAAAGACTACAGCAAAAACTTGAAAAAGGATAATGATTTGTTTCAAATGGACTGCCAAAGAGTTCTCGTGGCCAGATTTATTTTATAGCTGAGTTAATTTTATCTCCTGGATGAGGACTTTGGAAACGGTTCCTGATACCGAGACCTCAGCAGTGCTGCAGCTTTAGCCTTTCCAATTCAGATATTTGCCTTTTTGAGGGAATCTTCCAAGCACAGTCCAAGCGGCAGAGTTCATGTGTCCATGTCTGGATGATTACAGTGGCTTAAATATATTTATAAAAATTCTTTCAATCTATCTAATTCATTAATGTGGAACATAATGCTAGCTATACATTTTGTACAGGTATGTCTAAATTTGCCCTGTCATGCTTAAATTGCAACAGCAGCTCCTGCTTTTGTGGCCACCATTGCTTGATTTCTTACTTATCAGGATGGAAATGTCTTGAGCTTGGAGGAAGCAATCCTTAAATATCAGAAATAAGCTGCTTTCAAAATTTTTCCATCCACTCACACTGACCACAACAATGCTAAACCTGAGAAGTATAGGGTTTTGGTTTATTTTCCTTTTAGGAAGAATTACGTTTCTGAGCTTATATTGATAATGCTGGGTGTTTTGGATTTGTCATAAGAACTAGACTAAGGATGGGGAGGGAAAGTCAACTTTTAATAGTTTCACCATAAACTTTTAAAGCTGAAAATAGCAACTACTTCAGATGAACCTACCTCCCTTTTCTATTTTCAAGCACTCATGTTTGCTTTAATGTATACCTCTTACTAATCTATTCTCTCTGTAATTATTTGTAGTGCTTGACCTTGGATAAATTTGAAGGTTATCTTGATGAAACTCAACTGACTCATCAAGCCCTTTATCTACTGGAGGAAAACAAATTCTGGGCTGGTGTGATTTTTCCAGACCTAGAACCTACAACCAGCAATCTCCCACCACATGTGACATACAAGATCCGGATGGACATAGATGCAGTGGAGAAAACGAACAAAATCAAAGACAGGTGAGTGATGGTTGCTTCTCAGTTCTTACCTGCCATAACATGAATATAAGGATATTAGAACCTACATTAGATACATAAGTGAAATCCAACTGGTTTTGTTAATAGTTACTATGTAATGCAGTGCAGAATGATTTCCATGTGAAATTTCTTTTGAGGTACTGGGATCCTGGTCCAAGAGCTGATCCTGTGGATGATTTACGTTATATCTGGGGAGGTTTTGCGTATCTCCAAGACATGATTGAGCATGGGATTATAAAGACCCAGACCACTACTGAAGTGCCATTGGGAATTTATCTGCAGCAAATGCCATATCCATGTTTTGTGGATGATGTGTGAGTAAAAGCAGTTTGTCTTAATTCTGTTGAATGCTTGGATTGCTGGATGGTTTAAGACTCTCAAGCACCAGAATTAATCTTAGTCCTAAAGTGTATATACAAGAGCAATAACTGAGATGTAACTTTATAAATCTCATTTTTTTCCTTATCCTGTCATAACCCAAACTCCAGAAGCCACCTTTGCCAAGATTGTATCCCTAATCCCAATCCTGGCCTTTGTTGCATCCAGGCAACATCCAATTTTTAGCAACTCTGAGCTCTTGGCCTTTAAAGAATCAACTCCATTTTGGTTTAGGGTAAATTCATTGAAAAATTGCGATGCCGAATTCACAGAAAATGTTTTCAGCTTTTTCACCCCAAAATCTCACTGGGTAATTTCTTTTTCCTGTTTAAATTCTCTCACTCCTTTCTTCAATTTCTTTGTTAAGGACTGTCTTCTTGATTAGACTCTCCCTTTCTGTCTCCTTCTGCCTCTCCCTCTTCTTCTTTCCCCCTGTCTAGTCAATGATATGGACCTGTTGTTCTCCTTATCCACCTTTTCTTTTTCACTACTGGGGCAATTCCTGTAGTTGCTGTTTGGGTCCCTATCTCAGCCATAGTGTCCTCAGATGCAGTTTGGGTCCCTGCCTCAACTGTGAGTCTGAGAGTACTGAACCCCAGCTCTGTGGGCACAGGCCAGGCTCCGGTACAGGGCAAGAAGCTACTGGTTTTCGGTGGGGTGGGCAGGCACCCTCCCATCAGGTGATGTGTCACTTTGCTAGGTTTGGTTGCCCGTTCAGGTGTGAAGTCCCAAGGTATGGAAGTGATAACCACTAGGAACCTGCCCAAATCCTTCCATATGCCCTGCCACCCAGGGACCCACTGCTCACTGCCCTGCCAGGGCACATTTCATTATCCCCTCACACAGAATTTGCTTTCTCATACACCAAGACAACACGAGATTCCACAAACCCCATAATATGCTGGCAGTGTTAATTAGTAATAGTAATTAAACACCTCACATAAGGATGGAAAAGGACCCTGGGAGCCTGAATAATAAAACCATCCACATCAATCACAGCTAGGGAGAGGGAGATGTATTCCCTCATCTTCTTCACAAGATAACTCCTCCAGCACAGCAAAAGGCCATCAATGCCAGGGCGAAGCAACAGAGACATTTGTTGTGTTAACATGTTCCCAGACTCAGCAAAATAAAGAGATAAGCAGTGCAGCTGACAAACTCTGTGTCCTGCACAGGACCTTGCTACTTAATAACTACTATAACTATAGCACACTTATGTAAAACTGCTGCTGTCTCACCCCATGCTGGGTGCCAAGAAGGACTGTGGTGAGTTGACCTTGACTGGATGCCAGGTGCCCACCAAGCTGCTCTATCACTCCCTTCCTTAAGCAAGGGAAGAAATGAAGATGGAAAACAACTTGTGGGTCAAGATAAGGCTCTTTAGTAAAGAGCCTTGGTGTTCTTGGTGTTGATGCTGTGCCAGCACGGCTCAACAGTAGCCAAAATGCTGATGTGTTATCAACACCTTTCTAGCTACCAATGCAAAGCCCAGCACTGTGAGGGCTGCTATGGGGAAAATTAACTCCATCTCAGCTAGATCCAATACCCTGAGTCATGGTTTGTATGAATTTCAGCAACCTTGCTGGCAACCTCGGGTACTGTTAGTGGTTAATTTGTTTGATTCTTTTGCCAGTGAATTTTAGGAGCATAAAAAGACAGTGATACTCCTAAATTGCTAACATTAGCATATGTCTTAAAATATTCATTGTAGATAATAGTAAAAGCATTATGGGAATTCGCTGTGAAGAGAGCTGTATTTTCATGAACGACCACGTATTTTGTAGCCATCAATAACCCTCAGAACTTCTTTGTAAAATAGGAATAACATTTATCTGTCTCATGGGAATGCAGCAACCATTAGTTCATTAATATTTAGGATGCTGGAGAAGTTCACTAGTGACATGTTACTGATGTTTAGACTGAGAATTTTCAGTTCCGTATTTAGTGAATGCATTCTTCCCTACTCCTTTTGCCTTTCATCTCAATATTTCTCTGTTTTACCTAAATTTAATTTATTTCTTCCTTCTTGCTTTGGTAGCTTCATGATCACCCTGAACCGCGCCTTCCCCATCTTCATGGTGCTAGCTTGGATATATTCAGTGTCCATGACTGTAAAGAGTATAGTGCTGGAGAAGGAAATGCGTCTGAAAGAGGCTATGAAGAACAGGGGTATAACTAATGGGGTGATTTGGTGCACTTGGTTCCTAGACAGCTTTCTCATGATGACTGGGAGCACATTCCTCCTCACAGTACTGATTATGGTAAGGATTGCTTCTCTCAAACTCACTGTTGTGTTTGCACTGCTGATACCAGTTTACTGTTGAGAAAGAAGAGTAGCCATTTGATAGGGAGATGTGAATAGTGATGGCCTGTTCAGATCAGGGCACATAGCTGGCACATTCTTCTAAGCAGATCTCATAATGGCATCAGCACTTGGCAGAGACAGAACCATAAATTCACTAGCAGAGATTAATTGTGAGATCCCTCATAGAACAATCCATCAGGATGATTTCTCTGTGTATTGTATTTTCTATAGGCAGATGCACATCTCCCAATAAATAGTAGTCATTGCTTTAAATCAAAGAGATAGTAATTTGAAAAATTTTAATCTTGTAACTCACTATATGTGATTCATGTATAATATCCAGTCCTTGCCTGCTTAGAAATTGTACCACTGTTTCAGTGGAAGAAGAGACTGCAAGAACACAACTTTCAGGAAAACATAAAAAAAAAAAGCAACCCACCTTTTGCTTTGGTGGCTCAGGATTACCGTGATTTTGTAAATTTTCAGTACAGTTTGGATGTTGTCTTTGAGGACTATCTCTTATTTACCTGAGAATCAATCTCTATATTTAGAGCTTGCTGCTATATTTGATTATATAAATCTGTAGCATTTTGATAAGGAAGAATACCCTTGCATCTTTTCTGATGTGGGGAACTGATATTGGTATAAATGCACAATTAGAGTTCGCTCTGCTTTGTCTTATCAACATTCCCTGGTGTGTTGTTCTAGTTCCTGGTGGTTCCATTACAGCTTGGGTGTATAGAGAGATTAATTTATTTGCTACACTGGTTTAATTAAAAATCATGAGGGAATTAATATCAGAGAGGAATGTACTTTACCTGTAATTCACTTCCTTTCTGAGATTTCACCATGCCCATGTAAGGCACCTCTGTAAATACATCCTTATGAGACATTGCATCACTCTTGATAGAGAAGTCAATCTGTGAGGCTCTGTGGGATGTTGCAACAACATTGACACCTATTTATAGCCTTAAAGAGCTATTTGAGCTTTATGTAAGTTGACCTAATAAATAGATCTCAACATTGTTTTTTTAGGAGTAAATAGATAATTGGCAGCAGTTCATGCTCTTCTTGAGAGGGAGCATCTACAAAAGCTCTAATGAAGAAGGATTGATAAAAGTTCACCCAGTGGGTCAGTTAGTACACAGAGATCTCTGAGAAACTTCACTTGGCTTTCTCAGCTGTGATACACTTCTGGAGTTTGAATATCATTTAGGTGCAGAAGCTTTATAATTTCCTGTGGTTTTGTTGTTGGCTTTTTAAAGGTGTTTTGTCACACTTCCTTACATTGTCTTTTCTGTGTGTAGAGCAAGTGGATTGAGGAGAGGATGAGAAAAGATCAATGAAACTTTATTATTAACTTTAATACTTTTATTTAAAATGTATGAGTTTCCAGGCAGGCGCATCTTGCTTGGAATTATTTACTTATTAAGACAGGGACACAATGTCTATTTTCAGTCAGTTATGATCTTAATTCAGTCATCGAATAGGAATATAAACTCCACAACCTATTGTACTAACCTGAAGTCACAATCCAGGAACAGGGATAAAGTTAGATGAAGGATTTGTGATTGTAATGACCTCCGTGGTTGAAAATACTACCTGGGAGAGTTAGAAGTCATATTAGGTAAGAAGGACTGGCTTATTACTCATTACATGTTACATGTCAATGACAATTCTGACCTTTTCTACCAGTTCAGAAAGCAGCAATACTTATAAATTTTTCTGTTTTCCTTTTGCTTACAGCGTGGACAAGTACTACATTATAGCAATCCACTTCTCTTCTTTCTATTCCTGCTGACATTCACCACAGCCACCATAATGCAGTGTTTCTTGTTCAGCACCTTCTTCTCCAAAGCAAATCTGGCAGCTGCCTGCAGTGGAGTCATCTACTTCACCTTGTACCTGCCCCACATCATCTGCTTTGTCTGGCAAGACCGCGTGACTGTCAGTCTGAAGATCCTAGCAGTAAGCCTTTCACTGGTTCTGTGTTGTCTTTGCTCCCCTTCTCACGGTGCATATGTGAATTACAAATTATTGCACACCTCTTTCTCTCTGCTTTTGTGACTCAGAGAGGGAGACCTCTAAATCTCTCTCAAATAATTAAGGATTGTAAGTACATAAGCCTTTAGCAGGCCTAGTGCAAGAGATATCTTCATGGTTTTCAGAAAATCCAATAAAATTTTATTTTACTTTTTGAATGCTAGGAAATTAACATACTGTTTAAATTGTTTTGAACACTCCTTAGAAGTCAAAGCAAATTTAACTTCTGGTATGCTTAGTAAATATGAAGGCAATTTACAAAATGGAGAGAGTTATCTTTCTCATGTGCTATAACTTAGTTAACACCAAAATATCTAAGGATGAGAAGACCTCAGGTACACATTCTTTCTTTACCTGACCGTAGAGTTAGGATTTGGACCCGAGTGCCAAAGCTCTGAGAAATACTTTTCATCTAAGTAGTTGTAGACATTCTCCGCACAGTGCTTCCTTGTTGGTTCTCTTGCATTTTAGCTAAGGTGCATAACAAGTCAGAGGAGCTGGAAACTTCTTGCTGTTTTTTGAAATGGAACTGTGATCTTACAAAATTATTCAGACTAATTTTTTGTTGCTCAATGAAATGGGAAGGGTGTTTGAGGCCAGTCTCCCCATCTTTACTGAGTGTTCTAACAACACAGATAAAAGAACTGTCTTCTCCCCTTGCACTAGGAAATCTATAGAAAAAGGAAGAAAGAAAAGAGAACACTTTGAAAGCTCTACCTAAGTGTAAATATGGCTATTAATCAGCTTTCTTAACAGATGTACTATACAGATGTAGTTCATACCTTTTTTTAGTTCTACTGATTATGGCAATAAAGTGCAAAACTTGATCCTGTTGTTAAGTCTGGAGATGAGTAAGGTTGACCTCTGACAGACTCTGATTTAGGAAGAAACGTTAACACTAGCACACAGTCTAAGCATAAAAACAACTCTCTCTTCGCCTTAAAGTGAAGGAGGAGGCATCCATGTAAGAAAGGATGTTTGCTGGCAAGAAGCTATGAATATTTCTATTTATTCCTCTTCTTTTGTCTTACCTTTGTTGTTCGGAGGTTAATCAGCTGAAGAAGAGCTTATTACCAGGGATGATAAAGGCAGGGTGTGCATATGTAGGGAGCCTGAAGTAAAATGTTAAAGTTTTAAGGACAGTGAATATATTGCTGAAAACCAAATATTCTTTACGTAGCACACTGTGATAATGCCTCACTGAGAGTTGCTATTGGGATCCCTCATTTTCGTAAGGTCTGGCATTCCTGGCTGAACTACATGTCCTGTGAAACAGCACTAAATCTCTTCTTCCTCTGTTTTTGCAATGCAACATTGAAGATAATATTTAGATACTCTACTGGTTTATTAGTTTTTTATTAGTTTGTTGTGTGAGAACCAGCTAACAGACATGACAGGGGAAAGGATGGTTGTGGTTTTCCTTATTCTGAGAATCTGGTGTACTTTCTGACTTGTTACTCATAGTGGCCCTTCCCCATACACTCAGGAAATATTTTTTTCCTCCAAAATAGGCAAAGGTGTACGCTGCAAACTTCTAGATGCATCTGTAGTATTTTCTGAACAGAGACATTAATGAAAAAAACTCCAATCTGTGAAGGTTGACTAGTAGTTAAAGAAAGCACAACCAGGGTTGAATTCAGTCTATTGTGGCTAAAAACTACTTAGAATTGTTTCTATTCAGAGAATTAAACATTACAGACCAATATAAAAGTGAAACAACTTCTCCCATGTCAGTTGTTAGGCATTATTAAGTTTTGAAGTCCAGTCCCTAAAGGTTGTCTTTTTTTTTTTTACAAAATGTCCCCCTGTCTGAGTTGAATGTAATTTTTCCTCTATTCCAGAGTTTGCTTTCTCAAGTAGCTTTTGGTTTCGGTACAGAATACTTGTCACGCTACGAAGAACAAGGTCTTGGCCTACAGTGGGGTAACATCAGAACCAGTCCCTTGGAAGGAGATGATTATAGTTTTCTTTTTTCCATTAACATGATGCTTTTTGATGCTTTTCTCTATGGAATACTTTCTTGGTATCTTGATAACGTTTTTCCAGGTATGTCCATTTCTTATCCATATGAAGTGGCAGTGGTTGTAAACTCTGTTAATCTAATCAGTCTCTGAGTAATTCACTGTAAAAGCAGGGTGTTGTAGACCATGAATCTTATCCACTTTAGCACCACTGGTTTATTAAGTCTTCCACTTTTCTCTCTTTCTTTTTTCTTTCTCCTGTTTTATTCTTGAAAAGAATGGAAAAGGAAGAAAGAGTAAAAAGGAGGATGCAATTTCTGGTCACATTTTATAATTTAAATAGAAAATAAATCTAGAAAAATATTATCTGTTAAAATCCAAATTGTGTATATGTTTTCTTTTGAGAAATTTCAACCATTTCTAATGAGAATTCTTTAAATTTTTAAAAATATGAAAGTAACAGTTCTCGTTGACATATATATTATGACCACCCTAGGCAAAATGTTTCTTAAAGGATGGTACTATTTCCTAAGACACATACTTTGTCCCAAGCAGTTATGAAAGTTCATGTCCGGATTTATTTTTTTTCTAAAGGGGAATCATGATTCTTGTGTGAGTTCACAAGAGGATTTTTCTTTTTTTTTTGTTATCAGTTACAAAATTCTGGAACTTTCTTTGTGACAAAATTATTTGTCCTTCTGGCTTAAATGGTTATCTTACTTCATATTGAATATTGTTACAGCGTAATAAATATAAACTCTTATGCTGTACCCAGCAAGTGAGCTTTCTTTTCATTAATTACTCCTGCATGCAAACTGCAGTTCCAAAATGTGTTCTTGGCAGATGGATGTTTTTTTTCCTTTTCCTTTTCTGCAACTCTGTTTATTTAAAGAAGAGTAGACAATGTACTATTTCCATGAACACAGCAGAAATTAAACAACAGCATTTTCTTCATTCACAGATACAAATTGGGTTTTTTCTGTCAGCACTTTACACAAAAGTAACACCTTTCAGGGCTTCTAGTTAGTAGCTTTCCATCTTCCCAATGTTTGCTTTGAGTATCTGGTTGGCTTTCTGCTCCTCTGTTTCTGTAGAATTTCTCATGGTGTTTCTCTGTCACACATGTGCAGACCTACCAAATCAATACTGTAGTCTTTGAGGTTACTATGGATAATTCTCTGAGTCATATCCAGTTCCCTGCATAATCCTTTGAGTCATATGGTTCTTTTCCTGCTCAAGTGTGTTCTGCAGCTAACTACCCATTGGCACGATGGTGCTTTGGCTATTTCAGCATTCTGCTCCATAACAAATTTCACTTGGGTTTTGCATTCATCCTGAATAAGAATCTGTTGGTTTAGCCATCAGTTTCAGGGGGATATAATCCAGTCCATAGCAAGTGCAAGGCAAACTGTTTGTGGATGCAGACAGAGCATTTGTGTGCATTAATAGGGGTATAAGTGGTTGCCTGAAATACAGATAACTTTTGTTAATTCAGAAATAGGCAGACACTTTCATAAACAGTGGTTTTCAATTAAGAAAAACTGACCATCTTTCAGTGAGTATTACAAACTCCCTTTGCTTATTTTGAATAAATAGCACAAGGATAACAACATCTGGGTTCACAGGGATGCCAGTTTTAAACATAGCAGCTCAAATTCTTGCATTCTATAAATCAGTATGATCCAGGAAAGCAATGTTTACTTGCTGTAACTCAGATCTGACCTGACAAGAACTGGTAATGTTATTGTACTTTCTCTTATCCAAACTGAATTAACCTGTGAGAAAAAAAGCCCATTTTTGCTTAAGAAGACGATTACTGTGTTGTCACTTTTCCTAAAAGGCTGTGTGCTGAAATAACAGTCAGTGTCTTTTCCCATTGTGACTTGTGAATGTAGCCCCAGGATAATAAGTGTAAATATAAAATGCTTTTCACTCATGTCAACCCTCAAGCGCTAAGTGGGCCTTAAAAGAAAATCACTGAGTGAGGCTGGGATCCCACTTAAGCAGTCAACTGCCCCCTGGTTGGTAAGGATTCAGGGAGTATCTTCATTCTGTAATTCAACTATACTGTACTTAAACCAAGGTAAGGCAAATCGCATCACATATTTTCTTAATATTTTACTGCTGCCCAAAATTAATAAAAATCTGTAAACAAAATCTGTTCTGTCAGGTACTTGGTGGATGGTTTGACCTTCTGATATGCACAGTAGGACTTCAAGTGTTTATAATTATACTCAGATTTAGTTTAATTGTATTCATGCCTACTGAGAAATGGGATTATGAAGTGCATTTTACCTACTTACTTTTGTTTTAGGGGACTATGGGCTACCACAGCCTTGGTATTTCCCTGTGCAGAAATCTTACTGGCTTGGCTCTAGAAACCCACAAGATGAGAAAACAGCAACTGCAGATGGTGAGTTCTTTTAAAACTTGGGTGTTTAGAAATAACTTCATTGATCTGCTTAAAGGTGACATTACCTGAGCTGCTGCAAAGGTGAGAGACAGCTATACACTGAGAATCTCAGCAGGTGCCTTTGAACTTGGAGTGGCCTGCTATTATTAGAATTAGTAGAGGTGAGTCCCTGTTCCATTTGAGAGCCTTTGAAGTGTGGGTTAACAAGCAGCATCAGATCCCCACTCTCTCTACCCAACACTTTTTGAGACATTCAAGGTATTGCTCAACACAACCTTTGTGAAATGTTGATCTTATTTACACTGAGTTTCCTCATCTTTTTAAACCTAATTCTTTTCTATCTAATTTGACACTAATTTGGTCTTTTTACTTTCAGTTTCTAAGCAAGATCATGATTTATGGCACACTTGTACCATCTTGAATAACTCAGTAAAGAGCCACCAAGTTGATTAGGAGCTGCAGCACATAACATGATGAGAGAGCTGGATCTGCTCAGCCTTGAGAAAACTAAGATAGATCTAGACTGCTCAGATGTGTCTAGAGGAAGCATGAGAGGCAATGGATATAAACTGGAAAACAGGAATTCTGATTCAATATAAGAAAATAAATATTTGTTATGAAGGTAGTTAGAACACTGGAACAGGTCGCTCAGGAAGTTTGTAAAATCTGCATTTTTTGAGATAGTTGCCATGATCTGAATTGACCCTATTTTTTGACGATTGAACTGGAAACCTTTGGAAGTCACTTCTGATCTAAATTATTATTATCTCAACTAGCCTGATTGTGCTGGTAGTTATTTCATCCTCTCTTCTGCAAAACATTGCCTTGGGTTTTCTCAAGCAGGGACAATTGAAAAGGTCATCTTTGATTAATTCCTTTATAGGAGACTGTGATTCTTATCTATTTGAAGAACCAAGACACTTCAGTGTCTAGGCTTACTTGAACAACTGTAGAACTTTTCTCAACTCCTATCTTTCCTTCAGGGATAATACTGAGCATTTCCTTAATTTATTGTAACTGGTTAATGTATTGGGAGGAAAACTGGATAGGGAAATGTCAGATAATGTAAATTCACAGTTGAAAATTAAGATAAACTGGTAAATTATCTTGGTACTTTTAAAATTTACTTCTACTGGAGCACTTTTGTATCCCATACTTTGCCATTTTAGGTGATGGCGTGAACTTGTTTATGTGACTATTTGTGCACTAGGTAATTTTATACAGTTTTGTGGGCTAAAATTTCTTATAGCAGAAAGTTAGGGTGAAATTGCACAACAAAAATAAGTCCTAGACCATCTGATAAATTACAATTGTTCTAGTTTCACTCTAGACTGCTGGCCTGAATTTGTGTTATGTAAACAGTTCGTTCAGGGACTCCTGCTTTGAACATCACTGTTCTTCCTGCTTCAAGCCTGACCCAATCAGTGATTTTATGTGACTGTTTTCTTTCGTGGCAGCAAGGGCTAAGGCCAAACTGGAAAGCCAGAAATTCTTGTATAGAAGTTAACATCAACTCATTCATTCCAGCCTGCTGTTCTTAATTTAAGTAGCAGTTTAGCATTTTGCTTTTCATTTAACCTTTTAATTTTGTTTTCCTTCCTCTCCCTCCCTGTAAGTCTGGGAAATGTTTTTATGGCCTTTCTTGTTCACTTGAGAGTTGGACTCGATGATCCTTGTGGGTGCCTTCCAACTCAGAATAATCTGTGAATCTTCATGTGGTGAAGAATTTGGTCTAGAGCTGCATAGACAAAATGTAAAACATGTACCTAATATCAGTCAGGATCTTACTCTGAGTCTGTAACTGCAAAATTGTCAGTCGTCTTCCTTAAATATATGATCTTGACCCTCTGAAGCAGATTTTAAACTAGGTGCTGTGTTCCTAACCTAATGAGTTACTGATGGTTAATGCTCCTGGAAAGCTCAAAGCTTACGACTACCTCCTTTTCCTCAAAATATCTCTAGAGATAAGAGGATATTTAATTTTGGTTCCTTACATCTTGGTTACTTTTGGTTTATGTAGAAAAAATTCCAGAGTCAGAAGGCTGTGTGGATCAGAAGACCGTGGAAGTGGGAAAAAATGAAAGCAGAACAAATAAATCTGAAGAACCTGAAAAAACAGAAGAAAAGAATGACAACCAGGGGAAGAAGGACGGTAAAAACAAACAATGTAAACACAAACGAGAAAAAGAACCCGGCGAGCAGGGGAAGCCTAAGACAGATGTCCAGGACAAAGATGAAATTAATAGTAAGGAGAGAGAGCAACCTGAGTACTTTTGAGATACCATACTCATTATACTTCATAACAAACTACACATAGGAATGATTAGAACCAACCTACAAGAGCCCAGTGGGCTGCAGATGATAGCATGCAACTACCAGAGCTAAGCACAACAGAGACTGGCTCTTACTGATTCCTCTACATTCATAATCCCTTAGAATACGTTAGCCACTACACATAAGACAGCTGCCCTCCTGAAGAGCTCCATAACTTGTTTTTTATTGTGCAAATGCAGGCTGTTTCTTTGGCAAGTTAGAATTCATGCTGAGGGAAGCTTCAAAGACAGATACATTGACTCCTTAGAATTAGAGTCATGACTTCAATAAAAATACTTATGTTGAGAGGAATGTTCTTCCCACCTAGCCCCACCCCTCCTCTTTTTTTTTGTCTATCTTTAGTGTGTCTTGCATCTGTAGGGAAAGGCTGGTTTCAAAGGGATTTATCTGAAGTGCTCTGTGTGTCTGTCTGCACCCTCTTCTGATGCTGACATTAGCCACCACCTAAGAATTCCTGAATGACCTGCCTTGTTTTCAAGTCCCAATGTCTTTTTTTGTGGGGAACCAGAGGAATTTTTTGTATGTGATGCTCAGAGGAATGCATGTGGATTCTGTAGCACAAGTAACTGCTACTGGCAGCTCTGAGCCCATTGTGACTCTCTTGAAAAGCTAGAGATAAAAGTGGGGCCATCAGAGCTCCTCACGTAGGCACTGAAAACATGCATTCAGGGTGAATGGAAACAGGACAGGACTTCAAAAGAAAAAGGACAGGCAGAGGTCAAAGGTTATTTCAGCCAATCTTCTCCTAATACTGCCTTATCTTTGTGGTGCTGTATTCATCAGTTCCTGTGTTCCAGCTGCTCCATGGCCACAGAGGAAGGACTTTTTGCCTGTCACTGCACAAAAAAAAGCCCATCTTCCCTTTCAGCCACCCACACAGGAACTAGGAGGCTTGTGAAGAAGCCAAAACCAGACCTAGTATGGTTCAATGACACAGTTTCCAGAATCTTTTCATGTAAGAGCTAGTGCTTCACGTAAGAGTAATGGGATTGGAAACAGAGTAGTTCTAACAGCTTAACTCCAAAACTAGCACAAGTTGGCAGAGCAAGGCAGATGCTGTAAATATATCCTAATTGCTTGATACATTTTAAGCGGAGCTTTCACCAACACCCTATCCACATCCCCCCAGTGATGGCATCTCTGAAGAAAGACCGAAATGGCCCAAAATTGCACAGAGGATATAGGATCAGAATGGAGAAATATGAATCACAAAAAAAAGGGAGCTTAACCCTCCACTAATGTCCTTCAGGTGATGCAAAGCAGATACTGGGGGAGATCATCAGAGAATTTGCCGCAGAACTTGTCAGTGAGTCTTGCAGACAAATATTAATTGAGCTCATGATACATATAAAACCAAGGAAGGTGCCTCACAAAGCAAAAGAAAAGTTATCTATAAACATAATTTTATTTAAAATAAGACTACCCATTCTAGATTGATTATTTCATCTGATTTGTAATATACACAGCTCTCTCATATCCAGCATATTTGGGACTTTTTCCTGAGTGTTGTCTATAGTGACAGTCACACAAGCTACTGAAGGAGGTGGGACTGGTTTTGCCCAGATGGCATTGGCTGTTCTCCACACAGGCCTGCTGGGTACTGAACAATTTAAGTAAACTGGAATTGCAAAACAAGCCTCCCTACAAAGCCTGAAGCATTCTGTGTAAACAAAAGTGGACAGGGTCTTTAGTTTCAATTTCTCAACTCCCATAATTCATATTGCCCAAGGGCTTAATTTACTTCAAAGGAAGTTTGTTTTGTCTAGAAGCTGATGCAATAAGACATCCTGATGGTGCTATTTACAATAATGCGTTTTTAATCCTGAGAGAAAGCCATCTCATGTAGTGTTCCTGTTAGGTACTGTCTAAATCCTGAGCTGGCCTCAGCAATGGTGTAAATTTCACCTACCAGGATTGAAGGTAAATTTTTTTTGTTGTGTTTTGTTTGTGTTCTGGGGAGATTTTTTAAGCATCATGGTCAAAGAATGCACAGCTGGACAGATTATTTGAATGGCAAATTTCAGTCTGGCTAGAAAGGCAACCTGCTGTTTGTTTAATGTAATCTCTCAGCCTAAGTATCTTCAGAAAACAATCCCAAATAATCTTCCAGCTACACAATTGGAACAGAAATCATGTTCAGCTTCACCTGATCCAATGAGTTACCTCTCCACAGAGCACCACAGTTCTGGGCTCCACTTTTCCTGTCATTGATATGAGGGTAAATCTAAATAAATTGCACTGCAGTTAAAAATCTGGCATCAGTTTGGTACTGGTGTGACTTGGAGAATCTGGCCCTGGAACATGATGCTGTGTTTTACTGGGTATATGCTGTTGCTTCTGCACTTATTGGTGTGTCATCATCAAACTAGGGTTAAAACAGGTGTTTTTATTCTCTTTTCATTCTTAATTTTTTGCCTTTCAAGTAAATACCTTCTTTGAGCCTGAGCCAGCAGGACTGATTCCAGGAGTATGCATTCAGAACCTGGTGAAGATTTTTGCAAACAGGTCCAAGCCAGCAGTAGATGGGATGAATATTACATTTTATGAGGGTCAGATCACAGCCTTCCTTGGTCACAATGGAGCAGGAAAGACAACAACCATGTAAGTCTCTTAAGCAAATCCAGGGCTGTGCTCTATTGCTGTATCCCAAGGAACAGTCTTCTCTTTTCACTCTTTCCTTGTCTCTCTCCACCCCTGCAGCTGGCTTGAGACACAGCATCAGGCTTTTTCCAGACAGGGAAATGCTGCCCCTAGGCACAGAGAACATATCCTGGATTATCCCTGGGAGGGAGGCAATACATGACACAAACAAGTGAAAGTCTAAAGAGAAGGAAGCAATACTCTCTCCCAGAATTCATTTCCCATGGCCAAACTACCCTTAGGTGAAGAAGGAGAAGGATCTTCTGGCTGAAAGGGCTGAAGATTTGCAAGCCACCACACTCCATGTGTTCTTGGTTTCTCTAACTGGCTTGAAGTCAGTCACATTTTTTGGTCTGTGTGCAAAGGAGTATAAGATATAGACCCTCTTTAAATAAAATGGTTACATGCATGTGACATCCATGTCCAGATTAAAATGTTACTCTTGTCCTAGAACTCTAGCATCCCAGGAAGCCAGACTCTAGGAATGTTTAATTTTCTTTATATGGAACTTTATTTGGCAAAATAGGATTAATTATCGAAAAAAACATTTCATGAATCTGTGACAAGGTCATCAAATGTTGAAAGAACTGAATGTGTTTCATTATGACTTTTTCCAGCCGAATACTTTAGGATTTTTTAATTAAAAATACTCTTATTTCAAATGCACTTTAAGTTGCTTTTTAATTTTTTTAATTGTTCCACAAGAAGTATGTTCAACCCAAAGTAAAAGCATTCTAATCTACTGAAATGTTTTGTAAACTTGGCTTTTTTTGTTCTCCTGATAAAACCAAAAATTTGTATAGCTTTGAACTTTTTAGAACTGAAAAACCCAATATTCACCCAAATGTAGTAACAGATGCCACCCATTTGCAACATAGCGTTTGATGCCCTTCTATTTTATAGAAAATAAAGGTGTAGGGCATGAGTCAGTATGGCCAGAGACCTCAAGCCATTATTCTCTATTTTCATCCTAGTGAGCTTCGTTTTAGACCCCTTTATACATAGGGATGATGAAACATGCTGAAAAAGCTACCTGAAACAGAGGAGCTGTCTAAAACAGTTTTTTAATGGAAACCAGAATCATACAGACAGGTGTATCAAAAATTATGTTAGCAGATTCTCTCTGTAGCAGGGCAAGAGTACTTTCATGCATGTTTTTCACCAGTTTTGTTTCATCAAGGCCTGTAGTAAGAGATCAGCATGCTCCATCTAGTGGAATCATGCGATGTAGCTTCCTAATCTAGCGCAGAAAGATAGGAGACTGGGAATTTCCTCATTCTGTTTTCCCAGGTCAATACTGACAGGCCTCTTCCCACCAACGTCTGGAACTGTGCTGATTGGCGGCCTGGATATCCAGACTCACATGGACTCTGTTCGGCACCGAATAGGCATGTGCCCACAGCACAACATCTTGTTCAATCAGTAAGTATCATTCCATACCAGCTTTAAGAAGAAGCGTCCCGGTCTGCATGTGTGAAAATGCCCAAAGCCTGTGTTGTTTCTCTTACTGTGCTGGCAGTAGATGTGTTTCAGGAGCGCTTCTTCATCTCTTAACACTCACATGGGGTAAGTGTTGTCCTTCTGCAGTAGAAATCTCCTGTATCATTTTGCTGGAAGCGCAGTATTTTCTTAGAAAAATGAGAGTGGTCTTGGTGTTTTCTCTTGCAGTGTGAGTTAGCAGAAGTCCATCCTGAGGCTTCATACACTATAATTTAGGACTCCTAAAGAAAAAAATCCAAGTTGACAGTGCAGTAGCAGGAAACTTTTATGTCCATTTTGCACTACCACAAAACCACTTACTGCCTTCTCAGGTGATTTCCAGCTTCACTACCATTAGTTTGTGTTCATCTCAACAGCAGGCTCTCTTCCTTAATGCAACTCCTCATGTTAGCTCCCATTTTATTCCCATAAATGGATGGTTTCATGCCTGCTATACCTGTTCCTTTAGTAGCAGGTTCTACTTTGAAAAGGCAGAGAAAGAGCCTATGACATCCAAGTGAAGTGTGTTGATCCTGAAGATCTTCTAGGGTAATGCAACCTCTCTTCTTTAGCAAGATAAAGCTAGAGTGAATTTATTGCTGCTTGGGAAAAGAACCCAGCTTATTCATTTAAATTGTCTTGGTGCCTTTCTGTCTGATTTCACAGCCTTACTGTAGCAGAGCACATCTTGTTTTATTCTCAATTGAAAGGAAGATCCAGGGATGAAGCTGAGCAAGAGCTGGAAACAATGCTAGAAGATACAGGCCTCACCCATAAAAGGAATGAAGAGGCTCAGAATTTGTCAGGTGCCCACATGAATGTTCTAAGATGGTTTTTCCTGCTACCTTTTCTTTGTCTTTCACAGAATCACAGAATGGTTTAAGTTGGAAGGAACTTTAAAGATCATCTGGTTCCAATCCCCCTGTCATGGCCAGGGACACTTTGCACTTAGACCAAGTTGCTCACAGTCCCATCCAACCTGGCCTTGGGGCAATTATTATTTGAGTTACATGTTTGAGGCCATATTCTGACACGTCAATGTACACTGGGAAAGTCTTTATTCTCAAAGAGTAAATGGGACTGTACAAGTAGTAAAGCTGGCACAACCTGTCCCTGAAGCTTCCATTTCTTTCAAATATACAACAAATTTGAGTATACTTAAAGCTATTACTTTTAAATAAATATATATTAAAAATTGATTAATATAGGGGAAAAAACAAAATACAATGTTCTATTACTTCAAGGCAAATGAAATATTATACTATCATGCTGCCCCACTGTTTGGATCAGTGCTCTGTAATACCGTATTATTTGGTAGGAGTAATTTCTTTCATTTTAAAGGTCCAAATGCACATAGCATATTTGAACAACTCTCACTTTCAGATTCAAAAGGTGATTTGAATAAATAGGCAGGTGTTCTTATACTACTTTGTCCTGATTGCAACTATAAAAGTGGGCTAGTTTTACAAAAGAATCTTCCTGCTTTTGCTTCTGGCAAGAAGCAGAAAATGCAAGGTATAGATGAAAAAGACAGATATATAGATATATAGATAGAAAGCTGTTATGAACTTCAGAAGAAAAATTACTATTGATTTAACTTTGCAGAAATATTTGTCTGAGGATGGGTTTTGTTTTATTTGTAGCAGTTTGTCCCCACACCAAAAAGCAATGTAAATATATACCTACCACATATGTAACTCAGACTCCTGGATGTGTCTGTCCTCTGGTAGGTGGAATGCAAAGAAAACTGTCTGTTGCCATTGCTTTTGTGGGTGAAGCAAAAGTGGTAGTCTTGGATGAGCCCACTTCTGGAGTTGATCCATATTCCAGGCGATCCATCTGGGATCTTCTGCTGAAGTATCGCTCAGGTAAGAAGTTTGAGAGTAGAAACTGTTTAATTCTGTTGGGTTTTTTTAAAACTTGTCATAGGCGCAGCATGTGCCTGCTGTGTAAACTGTCAGGAGTAGTGGGATATGAAAGCAAGCAAACAAGATTCTTTGGACAGATACCTATGGTTGTGGCAAACCTGGGACCTGATTTTGGTGCAAATAAAACCCTGCATTAATTGACAAAAAAACTAAGCACAACTTTGAGTTCCAGAGAAAGTCCATGCCTTGAACATTCATTCCTTCTAGGCAGAACCATCATCCTATCAACCCATCATATGGATGAGGCAGACATCCTTGGAGACAGAGTAGCCATCATATCCCAAGGGAAACTCTTCTGCTCAGGCTCTCCTGTATTCCTAAAGAACTGCTTTGGCTCTGGCTTCTATCTCACTCTTGTTCGCAAGATGAGAAACAGAAGAATTGGAAGGGCTACAGTAAGTATGTATCTCCTTCCCTGCACAGGTTATCTCAAAAATACTTGCACTGCACCAAGGTAAAAAGCAATTAGGTGCTGCTTGAGACAGTGTACAAAACAGAAAGCACAGAATCACAGAATGATTTGGGTTGGAAAAAAACTTAAAAATCATCCAGTTCCAACTCTCCTGCCGTGGGCAGGGAGTCCTTCCACTAAACCAGGTTGCTTAAAGCCAGTCTGGCCTTGAACACTTCCAGGGATGGGGCATCCACAGCTTTTCTAGGCAATCTGTTCCAGTGCCTCCCCATTCTCACAACGAAGAATTTCCTCCTAATATCTATTCTAACTCTATCCCTTTTCAGTTTAAAACCATTCCCCCTTGTTCTATCGCTACATGCTTGTAAAAAAGTCCTCCATCTCTTTTGTAACCCCTTTTAAGTGCTGGAAGGTCTCCCTGGAGCCCTCTCTTCTCCAGGCTGAACAATTCTAACTCTCAAGTTGCCTTTGTTCATATACAGGTCTTCCTGATGCTTGCTTTTGCAATACACTGATTTTAAACATTATATAGTTTAAGTAAGTAGCTCAGACACCGGAAGAGTCTACATTTATCCACAGCTAAACCAGCCTCACACAGTTTGACAAGTAGGGTTCTGGATTCTTTCTGCTGCTAATAGTGCTTCCAGTCTTAGTAGCAACACAGTCTGTATACTCAGGGCCACTGCTAGTCACATTTCCCCAGGCATTTTGTATGCAATTTAGAATGGACAGGTATGATTTGTGCAGGTGGAATTATGTTTTCTGCATTGCTTAATCCAGTCTTCAGATGACTTTCAGTCTAGTATGTTCAAGATGTTCTGGATATATTTTTCACTGACTCAAGCTGTTCAAATACTGACAACCCTTACATCCTGTTTTGTGTGAATCTGAAGCACTTTCATCTTTTTTCCTTGTCCATGCTAGTCACTTTGTAGCTGTGGATCTGGGTGCTCCTGTTCCTGCTCCAGCTGTGTGCCCAGGGATGAAGAAGGAGCTCCAGAGCTGGAACTGGATGGTAAGAAATGGGATGGTTCATCATTCCTGCACATAATTATGTCTTCTGTTATGCTGCAATCTTGTCTGCTTCTTAACCCTCTTCTTTGGTCCTTGAGTCTAACATTTGTATTGTATTGTAACATGAATTTGATGAGGCTACTCTGTGATTTTGCCCCTTTTTGGTATATATGTGTTCTCAGGCACAGATGATGAAATTGAATTTTGTGTGCTTAGAAGCAAAGTATAGAGTTTTGAACTACTCTGCACCAAAATGTGTAATTTGTTAATGAAAACTGAAGCATATCTAGAGCAAAGGAAACTAGCCCAGTCTAGTACAGAATTAACTGAGTTATCTGTGAGTTATGTAATAAAGCAGTCCCCTTTTACACTGTGCAAACAACAGCTTTTGAAATCATGCTTAGTATGGTTAAATATTCATTCTATGAACACTGTTTTGACTTTTCACAGGAGATCTAAATGAGCTAGCAGAAGTAATTCACCATCATATTCCAGAAGCAAAATTAATTGAAAGCATTGGTCAGGAACTCATTTACCTTTTGCCCAATAAAAACTTTAAACAGCGATCTTATGCCAGTCTCTTCAGAGAACTGGAGGAAACACTGGATGACCTGGGACTCAGCAGTTTTGGAGTTTCAGACACACCACTTGAAGAGGTAACAGGCAGATGAAAATACTTGTTGATCTTACCATAAACCACCAAAATGTTTACTGAGACAGTTCCTAATCTTAAACACGTAATTCATGATTCCTAATATGCCCTTCAAAACCTATTCACATATACTGTGGCACACTCAGAGAATCTTTGAGAAGAGCATAGAGAAAAGATCCAAGCCTTATGTCATTGTAGCCCTGTGGAACATGACTCATTAGCCTGAAATATGTCCCTTTTTTTATATCTTTGTTCATTCATTTATTTTCTGAGGTATTTCATAAGAGACCTCTGGTTGTATAATAAGTTGAAGTACTGAAAAGGTATCCAAATTTTTTTTCTGTTATATTGAAGGATGATGTATGATGTTTTAAAGATCAGATTATTGCAACTGTTCTTTTCTTAACTGAGTGATGTATTTGTCTATGGCAGGTTTTCCTAAAGGTCACAACAGAAGCTGACCCTGGAATGCAAAAAACAGGTATAGATCCATGAATCTGTATTTGATAGACTTTTCTTGGGACTGTTCTTTATTCTGAACACCCTGTAAAGAGGAGCATCAGAACTTTCAGCCTTTGTATAGCGTTTTTTGACAAAATAAATTTAGTCAGCAAGTATCTGTTTTTAGGGCCTGACATGATATCAGAGAAACAAGATTAAGTCAGCAGAAAGACTTAGATTTAGATTAGATGAGGTTCTTAACTATGTAAATAAGAGTGTAGTGTCAAGCACTCAGATGTCAATGATTTTAGTAGTTTTATAAAAAATACTTTCCTGTCCATTAGTCCATAAACTACAGACATGATTAACTTGTTCATCCTGCTGAGAGAAGTGCTAACCTCCTGATGTCACTAAATACATCCACAGTGAAAACAGTTGTAATAAAACAATCTTGTGATGTGATATATACAGTTGGTAAAATCTGGAGATCATTAAAATATTTGTGGTACTTCATGTATGGAGGATAAAGTGTCTTATCTGCTGCTCCTCATCTTAACCTAGGAGACACTCAAGAAAATGGTTCTACTCTTGGCAAAACACCTACTGAGAACAAACCAGCTGAACAAATCACACTGAAAACTAATGACACTTCTCGAATGCCAGTAGGCAAAGCAGGAGATCAAAATGAAGGCAAAGGGTCGCGACAATATAAAGGTTTTCAGCTTGTACATCAGCAGATCAAAGCACTGCTCATCAAACGGTTCCACCGTGCCTCCCGCAGCCACAAGGACTTCCTAGCCCAGGTAGTGACTGACTTTTGCTGTTCTTGATTCTTTCCCACAACATTCTCAACACTGTCTTTCCACCAGTGGAAAGCAATGGAGGTACTGCAAATGGGTAACAGTGTTCCGAACTGTGTAATTATGATTCCAACTCTTCTGCCTCTTCTATTTCTGCCTGGAGACTATCACCTGCACCAAGTTCATGATTCAATCACTAGTAGCCCAACATTTTATTTTTAACATAATACAATTCTATGACAACCAGAATCTTAAGTGATTGTTGATGTTTAGGAGCTAAACTAGATTAGATCTGCGTATTCCTGTTGTCCCTCCTTTGTTTACATATATTATGAGATATGTACAGAATCAATCTACAATGTATATATAATAACCTAATGTGAAATTTTCATGTTCCCTGCAGGTTGTTCTCCCTTCTAGTTTTGTGTTGCTGTCTCTAATACTTACAGTCATTATTCCTCCATTTGGAGAATATCCCGCCTTAACATTACACCCTTGGATCTATGGACAACAGTTTACTTTCTTCAGGTAAGAGGAATCACTTAAAGTACATCTGTCATATATACACCTTTTCCTCCCTAGGATCATGGGGGACCATTTAGGATCATGGGAGATTTAAGATCATTTAGGATCATGGAGCCGTGTCCCATTGGGCTTTTCTCACTCTGTGTGATATAAAAAAAAGATTAACTCCGCTGGAATCAACAGATTTCAAATAGCACAAAATTGGTGCAAGTAGAGAAAACAGCTGTTAATGCATCTAACAAATAGTCCTTCAAATACCTTGCTGTCTTTGGTAGTCTTTTCTTCCTACCTGAATTTGTGGTCTCTACACTTATAAAATTACATATCCTGCCTAACAGGAGATACAGATCTCAGCAACTGAAAATGCAGAATATGTTTTTCATCTTCTAATTACTGACAGTACAGCGCTGAGAGGACAGAAATGAGGATTCAAGCTTTTTTGGAGAATATTGCTATTGGACTATGTCAGAAGTTATGCCTTACTATTAGGAGAAAAGGACCACTGTTTATCCTGTTAACCATTTTGGAAGGTTCTGGAATTTTACATTAAAAAATAAAACAATTGAATTATCAGCATTTGGAGAGGGGCAGTTGGTTCTGCCATATGACTGTTTTTCTCTAGTTCCTATGCGTATTCCACTACGACAGTTTGAAAAAATATGTTATAAAGTCCTATTTATCCCCTTAGCAATGAACGTCCTGGCAATGAGCAGATGGTCTCCCTTACTCATGCTTTCTTGAATAAACCAGGATTTGGAAATCGCTGCATGAAGAATCAGCCTCTTCCGTAAGTTGCTAGCTAATTTCTCTTGAGCAAGAGCCTAGCAGAGTATTACTAGTAGAACTTGAGTAGTGAAACAAGAATGAATTGGCTTGACTTTTCACTGAGCCAATGCTTCAGATACGTTGTTGGCAATAATATCTAGTATCGGGTCAAAAGTAACAAACAAACAGCAAGATGACACGGCCACTAGATTAGGAATGATTTGCAGTGCTCAGTGTGACTAACTGGAAACCAGCTCATGTAGGCTTGTATTGAGAGTTAAGCAACCTTGAAATTTATGTCAGGAGGTCAGTGGGCCCAAATCTTCACAGCTTCCCTGGCACTTTCCATGCGCGAGTCCCTTCAGGTTCCTCCTGTTCCCACTGGTGTGTATGGAAGCAGTAACTTCAGCAATCGCTCAGATTGGGAAGAACCAACAGGATGATTTGAAACTATTCTCAGTCTGAAGTGAGGGCAGCATTAGTAGAGCTCTAACTTCAACTTTTGTTGTTGTACCTGCCTGTGAGTCCTGCTTTGGAGCCATTTGCCACTGGCTTGCTATGCTTTGACATTTGTTCCATTTCTCCTGCCTCTTTCCTGGTCATTATTTGCAGCAACTTGATTTTTCTGTCTGTCCTCTCTTTTACCTTTCCTCTCCTCTACCTGGTACAGCAGGAGCAAAGAGGAAACTTTAAAAAGAGAAAAGGTGCTACATGAGCAAGGAAAAGGATAGTTTCTTCACAAAGATATGTGTCCAGTGCAGATTTCATGTGTATTAATGGGTCAAACATAATCCCCTTGTTCCTTCAGTGTCCCATCTGCAAACTAAAGACAGTAAACTTGGCAGAGATGTGGGAGGAGATTATATTTTTTCATGTTTACCAAGCACTCTAAAATGCTCTTCTTATTTGTAACTCACAGGATAAGGGCTGAGAGGGGAATGGCTTCTGATGGCATTGTGATTTTGTGGATATGTGAGTTCTCATGAACTGTTATTTCTGCACAGCTTAAAGCTCTGTTCCTCTACACAGGAACTACCCATGCAATAATATGCCAACTGCCTGGAACACACCTGCTGTTCATCCTAACCTAAGCAGCCTGCTGCTGAGCCAAGAGTGGAGCCCCGAGAATCCATCACCTTCCTGCAAGTGCAGCACTCACAAGAAACTCATCATGCTGCCAGAATGTCCTGCAGGGGCAGGAGGCCTCCCACCACCACAGGTTGAGTCCTCATGCTATAAATCTTTGTAGAAAAGTTTCATGGCAAGTGCTGGAAGAGGGATTATTGTGTAAGTACCTTGCCATGCTAAATATACATGGAAGGAATTGAGTGCATTTTTTTAAGGGAGCAAGAATTGCTGGGATTTGGAATTCAGTTTCAGAGGTATTGGAAAAGCTTACCCATTGAAATGAAATTTGATTACTCTTTTCATCCAAATTGCAAACTTTTCATGTAGAAGAAAATCACAAAAATTTTAACGATTTGCATAATCTTTAAAAATCTTTAAAAAATCTTACTTTCTTTTTCCTCAATGAAAATTCTGTTTAGAAGATTACCTTTCTTTAAAGAAGGAAAGAGAAGGAGGGAGAAAGAGGAAAGAAAATGAAGAAAAATTTCACAGTTTTCAAAAACGTGAAGTGGGGTCATCTCATTAAAATGGAAAAATTAATATTCAGTCAGCCCCAAAGTATTATTTTTTTCTGTGTCTTTCAGTTCCATTTGTAGAAAAAATGTTCTAAGCTGGCAAAATGAATGTTTGTATGCATGTGCATGGACATGAGTAATTTAATAACCGCTGATGCTGTATGGAGGAGAATAGAGCTACATCCCCACCTGCTCCTATGATCTGAGTAATACCCTTTATAAAATGTGCTTGGTCTTTTCAAGAGCAAAGGAAAATTACAGCCTGTTAGTGTTTACATTTTATAAATGCTCTTCTAAGAAATTAAACAGAAATGCAGCCACTCTCAGAGCAATAGCTCACTAATTTAATGTCTCACCATGCGCACTGCTTGGCTTTAATATTCCTGTTTGCCAGCCTGCGCACATAAGCCAAATAGCTAAAATATTTCTAGTTTTTATAAATCATAGAACCGTTAAGTTTAGAAAACAACTCTAAGATCGTCAAGTCCAACCATTAACCCAGCAGTGCATCTTCACCATTAAACTGTATCCCCAACTGCAACATCTAGACATTTTTTTAAACACTCCAGAGGTGATCATTACAACAGTTTCAGTGATGTGATCTCTTATAAATACTGACTCAGCTTGCTTTGATCTCGCTATCACTATTCGTAAAACAACAGTTGTTTTAAATATCTGTAGAATTCCTATTTATGAAGAAAAAAAAATTAATAAAGTGGTTGTATTCTGACTTACAGTATCCCAAGTTATTTCTGATTTCCAAGTAATCCCTGTCCAAGAAACAAAGTTGAATTTTGCTAATCACATGCTAATGTATTTCAGAGAACTTTAGTCTAAAACTTTGATTCCAAGTAAGATGTAAGGTTTTTTATTTGTTTATGGGGATTCTAGTCCTCTAGATGAAATGTGTTTATTATAACATTATCCTGATAACTTTGAAGATATTATAGTTTTGTATAACTTGTCAGAATGAAACAGTTCACATTTGAGTCTGCAGGGAAGGCACAGTATGTAAATTATTGTGAATTATGTCTAAGCATAGACAACTCATTTAATGAAAGCACTATGAAGATGCCTCCAGTCTTCCTATGTAGAATCAACTAGACATCTGTAATGTGTCTTCTGTGTCATCCAGCATTGTCTCTCTGTGGACAACTGTAGGAACTTCTGGAAAGTTCATTAGACTTCTTTCTAGGACATTATCAGATCATTTCCAGCTGCGAGTTTTGACCTCTGAAACTGCCCAGGAACCTTCCAAAGTATCTTCTACCTTGGGATAAACTCAGCAAGTGTGAGATCCTGTATTTACAAAAGGCTCAAAAATTTGTCACGTGGCATGATTTTCATTTAAAAAAAAATGAAAAAAAGAGAGTAATTTTCATTCAAAGTATCTCATGTGCTAATGAAGGTGAAGTTTTCATATTAATTTTTACCTAAAGCTGCTAAACTGTAGAAAACTACCTTTTTTTTTTTTACTGGGACCTCAGTTTGTTTGAAAAGCTTCCTTTTTTCACACTGAAGAAAAAGTCTTGAGCAACCCTGACTTGTGTTGCAAATAACGATTTCAGAGTGAAGTGCAACTGTTTTGTGTCATGCATCACAAACTTGATTTCTTCTGAAGTCTTAGTAAAGTATGTTTGGGTTAGAAAGTGAATGACCTACTCTCTTTCAGTGATACTACAAACCTGAGCATTTTATCTGAATCAAAGCTACTTTTGCTGGTTTTCTGACAAACTCTTAGTTAATAGCTTTAGAGACTGTAAAGTTTACTGTGATTGATTGGGTTTTCATTTCTTGCCAGAGAGTGCAACGCAGCACAGAAATTCTTCAAGATCTGACCCATAGAAATATTTCAGATTTTCTGGTGAAAACATATCCCACTTTGATAAAAGGAAGGTAGGGATGAATTTCTCTTTATTTTTCACATGCAGTATTTTGTACCTGGCCATGAAACTCTTATTTAATGATAAACACAGCAGCTGATTTGCCACAGTGTTCTGTAGACTTGACCACCATCTCCATATTTCTGATGTAAGACTAGGAGAGGCTGATTTTAGGCGAGTTAAATATTTTCAGTTATACCCATTTGTGTAATCGAGTACTCCTTTATAGGCAGACTTTTTTTCAATGTTGATGGAAAGCCATGTTGATGGTGACTGTGTTAATGGTGAGAAAAACGGTGCCTTTGCTTGTCTCCCTGAAGAACTATAGGCACACTAGCATGACCATCTGCCTAAGTTAATTATCACTTGTTTCCCAGAAGCATTAAAGAGCAGCCAAGAACAATGTTACATAGATACATCTATCCTACTGATAGCTCCTCTGCTTGCCTGAGTGTTGTTCATGGTAATTAGCTGTGCAGGGTCCACGGCCTATTATTTCCAATTCAGTCCTGCTACTTTTTCAATTCCTGGCAGAATTCTTGAAATTCCCATTATATTAGCTGTGTGCTACTGCCTTTGACTGATTCCTCTTAGCATGTGTCATAATTGCTTTAGGTACATCTTTTAAAATTAATTAATTATGGATTAGGGTGGCCCAGTATGTGTTGCTTTAGGAATCTTTCTTGTCTCTGTATGATTGGAGACGATCATGTCAGAAAACAAAAAAAAAAAACCAAAAACACACTGCAGGGGATGCCAAAAGTCTTGACAACCTGACGACTCAAATTAATAAGAAGCACACTGAAGATCTACAAAGTATAGGTATTCAGTTTTCATTTAAGTCTGGCAATATCATTGACTTTGGTTTTGTGCATTGAGACAGGATTCTCTTTGTCTGTTTCAGCTTGAAGAGTAAATACTGGGTCAATGAGCAAAGGTAAGAAACCAATTCACAGATTAAGGTGGTAAATAAAGGAACAATGTTTAACCAGGGAGCCTCACAATGTTTCTGGAAATGACCGAGGGGAATTGTGGCAGATAGTGTAGAACAAAGAGATGGCTTCAGTGGGAAATAGGTTGGGGATCAGGAAAAGTCTTATAAAGATGAGGGATTATATTTGTTTGAACTCCCCCAACTAGGATGAAGGCCAGAGGGGCACAATGGAACTATCACAGTTTTATTATCTACAGGAGTCAAACTAATGGGAACTGAGTGGTGGAAAGTTACGGTACAATAGTGCAGAATGTTGTGCTAGTGCTCTGACACAGCTCTTTCAAAGTGCTGCAGAAAAAATATAAACCTTTCAAAAAAAGGACCTGAAAAGATGAAACCTAGACACCAACCTATTAAATACAGAAGTAACAACCACAATTCCTCATCCCTGCTCTGTGCACGTGCTGTAGTTAAAAAACAGATTCTGCTAGTGCTGCACACTTAGGGAGAGGCATCAGCTAACCCCAGTGTTATGTCTACACTGCAGATACTAACCTTAGAAAGATGACTGGTTAGACTGAAGCATATACTTATTTCCTTTTTCATCAGCAGTAGGAGTTCACTTCAAAGAGAGCAGCTGGATGACTGGCTTCCTTCACAGAATATCTGCTTATTCATGTGCAAACATTGCTTTATATGGGGTTAGACTTCAGTTCATCTTATGCAATAGTGTTTATCATTATGAAGTACTGACTGGTACCAGCATTGGTGAATACCTGTTCCTCTCAGGGCATCTGAAATTTTAACTGAGTTCTGCGCTGCCCTCAGTCCTCCATGCTGTCTAAACCATTATACGTTAATTATCTTGATTTAAAGATATTGCACTGTAGAAATCACTGTTTCCTACAAATCTTTTATCTAAATAATTTTCTTAGGATGCTGGCATGAACCTCTCAGAAACTGATAGAACTTCTATTACTTGTAAACCTTATAAAGACCTAATACAGCTTGTTAGTAAAAGAGTTGAAATCACTATACATGAAATACATGATTTATAGAAATTAAACTGGTATTAAGTGGATTTTTAGTGTTTCCATCAATGTACAGTTCTGGGTCTATGGTACAAGTTATTGATGATACTTTTCTCTTTGCTAGATATGGAGGAATTTCTATAGGAGGAAGACTTCCAGTCCTTCATGTCTCTGGAGATCAAGTTGTCAATTTTTTAAGTGATCTTGGCCAAATGATGAATGTTACAGGAGTAAGCAAGATTTTTTTTTTTATTTGCTTGGTTGGTTGGTTGTTTTTTGGCCCCTTACTAAAGCATTGTTACAAAGCCGAAAACTTGAAGCATCAGATTTCACCCAGAATACTGATCTTTAACCTTTTTTATTTTAGGGACAAACTTCACTGGCTGCTGCTAAAGAATTCCCTAATTTCCTTAAATACATGGAAACTGAAGATAATATTAAGGTATTTGCTGGAAGTAGTCTGCGAATTCACAATCTTTCTTGACATAGATTTCAAATTGTGAGAATATTGCTGGTGGCATTCCCGAATGCAAGAAGAGCTGAAATGCTATACTTCAGAAATAATTTGGCATTAACACTGTATCCTATATTATAAGTAATTCTTATTTATAGTATTTCAAATGTGAAATTTTTTTAACTATGTTCTCAGTGCTTCTTGCTGTCCTAAATACTCCAAGTAGTACACTACATTTTAAAATGTGTTTCTATAAAATCCCTCAACAGCAGTTGTACAATGCTTTTAAAAGCATAGTATGTGAGCTCCTCCTGCAGGACTGTGCCTAGAAACTATGAATTCCTGGTGCTGGATTCGCCCCTACTGACAATGCCCATCAAAGCAGATAAAAGGCAACCAAGTTTTCTCCTGCAGCTCAGGGTTATTAGTGAAGGCTTCTTAAATGAATCTGTGCTTTCTGACTCTTTCAGGTGTGGTTTAACAATAAAGGCTGGCATGCTATGGTTAGTTTCCTCAATGTAGCCAATAATGCAATCCTGAGAGCTAACCTGCGGACTGGCCAAGCCCCTGAGGAACATGGGATCACTGCTATAAACCATCCTCTGAACCTCACCAAGGAGCAACTCTCTGAAGTCACTGTGTAAGTTTGTCTGTGCTCTGCTTCTGGCTTTTACCCCTCCATTTCCTGGCAGCTTGCAACCTCCAGGATATTCACACTCTGAGGAGAAGTGGTCCAGGGACAGACTGTGGAGGCCTTTCCCTGAAGTTTTATTCTAAACAAGAATGTATTCCTGTCTCATTATATTCCTGTAAGAGTTCATTCTCATCATATGCAGGAACTATGACCAATGGTTATATGATTGCATGTTTCTGTTGATTCTCAAGCATGAAGATTCTGAAGTCTGTTCATGCTCCAAATCCTATACGTGTACTTGTGAAATAAAATGTGTAATGAAAAATGGAATGAGAAATTGTTCTTAACTGACTTCAGGAAGGCAGAAGTCAACAACCTCTGTTTTGGTACCAAGGACATCACACAGGTAGATTTTCAATGGCATGTTGTAGGGTTGGTGTATTCCAGAATTTAAAAGTCATTGTTTCTTGAGAAATACATCCCTAAAAAGACAAGACTCACTCACATCTCCTATTAAGTTCAAAATTCAGTAAAACTGAAAACTGCATTGTAGCACAGAGACAAAATCTGTGCTTCATCTCACTGTCTTCAACTTACCTTCCTCTTTTCCCAGCTACCAGAGCACTTCAGCTATTGTGCCTTTATGTCTAGTTTGAGATATCTCATATGGGAAAGGCTGTCAAACTGAGATATAGAGAGAGAGAGAGTTACACAGAATGAAGGCAAGTGAAAAATCAGAGAATGGTGCCATATTTGTTAGCTACAGTCTCCAAAACAGCTTGGGAAAATACACTAGCACACTTTGAAGTTGGAGAAGTGTTCTACTTAAAAGTAGCCTTGCTACTTCTAGATCTTAAAACACCCTCCAGATTCCCCAAATGCTCATATAGTGTTGTGTTGCATCCATTCCCTTGCTCACAGTTCCTTCTTGTGCTCTGTTTTAGATTGACCACTTCAGTGGATGCTGTTGTTGCCATCTGTGTGATTTTTGCCATGTCCTTTGTACCAGCCAGTTTTGTTTTATACCTGATTCAAGAACGTGTAACAAAAGCCAAGCATCTCCAGTTTGTCAGTGGTGTGAGCCCTGTTATCTATTGGCTAACTAACTTCACGTGGGACATAGTAAGTAACTGCTGGTCTGATTTCACAGCTTGTGATTATCCTGGGTGTGCATGAACTGGGAACTAATTGGTGAATTAAGTCAAGGTGATTCAAAGCATTGTAAAGTATAAATTTCTTTAAGTGTTTCTCGAAGAGCATGGTAAGGATCTGACCTCTGAACTAATTAGAGATGCAGAAAATAATTAAGGTGCACAACTCATTATTCAACTAACAAGGCTGAAATTTTTGTCATCTTAGGATTTCCAGTCCTTATAACTGACTGTATAATAAAGTACAATTTACCATAGCAGGGAAAAGCCTCATTGCTTGGTGCTAGTCACTCCTGTCCTCTAGAAGACCCAAAACATGTTTCAAGATGTCCAAGAAATTTAAGTGGGGAGGATTCGCTGGCTGCTGGAACAGTAGCTGTAGGCCTGACAAAATACTCTAGGATATCTAAAATTACATAGATATCTTTGTTTAGGTCTCTGTATTATGGTCACTGTTTTGTTCTGAAAAGATTTATACCACAGGTCCAGACTTGTTTAGACAGGGCTCAGCTTCCCTCCTGTCACTCCTCCGTCCACTTTGTCACAAAGGAGACAATTCTTTGCCTGGCTGAGGCAGCAGGGCTAGTTTTCCAGCCATGCCATCTCAACAAAGAAAGCAGCCAAGGGCTTATGCAATAAGAAAACCATAAATGTAGAATTGAAAAAGAAATAATAAGAAAAAAAAAAACCTTGAAATACTTGAAAAACCCAAAACTCTTCAGGCTTTGAAAAGTGCTCTCTCAGGAGAAGATAAATCAAAGCATTATTTTAGTAAATGAGAGGGAAAAAAAGCAGGTCTCTGAGTTCTTGTTCCCTGCTGTTCACAGCAGCCTCCCAGCAGCTTCCTTGACAGGCATTCTGCTTGGCTGTTGCCCTTGACAGCATGATGCAAAGGTATTAAGTGGTGTTAGCAGTTCTGTGAAACGCCACCTTCCATTCTGCATGGGGAGTTCTGTGCATTTCGCAGTAGTGCTACTAATACTGAACAGAGAGATTGAGCAGTAGCCAAGCATTTAGCCTCCTCCCAGGAATGTGGCTCAAGTAACTAGCTTTTTCCTTTGCATCACCAGAAACACCACTTCCCTTGCCTACCTATGGCCCCTTTTTGTGGGAAGCCTGGCAGCAGGACCATAAAATAATCGACTCACAAACCATAATCTAAGAAACAAAAATGTATGTTGTATTTTTGATGAACGGTCTGATAAAAGACATCTCAGAAAAATGTTGAGTGTTGCCAGGGACCCTTTGATCCAAAAGCTTCAGTGTGATTAGTCTAACTCAGATTCTGGTGCTCCTCAGTATAAAATATTTTGGAATGATGTGTAGGATCTGGATATGTTTGCAGACCTTCTCAGGTCTTACACACTGATCTTCACCCTGTGCTGTGGCAGGTGAATTACTCACTGAGTGCTGGAATGGTTGTGGCCATATTCGCTGGGTTCGACAAGAAAGCATACACTTCTCCGACTAATCTGCCTGTGTTTGTTGCCTTGCTGCTTCTGTATGGGTGAGTCATCAAGGTCATTCCTCCAGTTCGGCCCTGTATTTCACATGGAAATGATTTCATGTTACTGAGCTCGGTACTTAGTGAAATCCAGCTTTAAAGAATAGAGCTGAGTGGATACAATACAGGTTAAAACTGGATTCTGTCTCTGCTACAGGATATTTGCACACTCTGCCTGGACACATGCTGCAAAGGAGATTCTTTTGTCACTACCTTACATTTAAACATTAACTGTGATCCTTACAGGAAAATATATTTGTTCAGTTTACTGCTTTCTTCCTTGTGCATTGTGTGGGAATTTAGTGGTTGTTCACAGCCACTACTAAAATATCTTTCAGGATTTAACCCAAGGGCAAAGAGTACTAAGTCTTCAACACTTTTTTAAATTGAAATGAACATTTTTTGTTGACAAAACAGCATTTTATAAGGCCGACTGAAATTCAGTCTCATTTAATTTCTCTCATTTAATTGGTGATCATATATTTTTATCTATAAAATCATCCTCCTGATAGCCCTTCAGCAGATGTAGTCAAGGCAAAGCAATTCATAAGATCTATTTCTAGACTTAAAGAGAGAAATTAATCTTTTTGTATCCTCCTATGAATATCACAAATGGAACTTAAGAGGGAACAGTTCTTTTTCTGTGCAAACCAGCTTTAATTTTCTGAAGTTATTGTGTTCTTTGAATGAAAATCCTCAGAAAATGCAAAGCATTAGCAGCATTTAATCTCTGTAAAACTGCTATCAGACTGTTAATTAGTTTTAATTTTTCATTATATCTTTTTAAAGTACAGTAGTGGTATCTTAAATAAGTTGCCTGTGGCACTGTATATTTTTTTTAAAATATGGTAATTCATGGCTGTATGGATGGACATCTTAAATGTCTTTGCATATTTTAAAGTATTAGCCAAGATGAAATTTTCAGAAAAAGTATAATCGCTTTTAGCAGTCACTTCAATAATTTCATAATTTGCTACTCAAAAAATGGAAAGAAAAGTCAAATTGTAAAATTGTATATTAACCCTTGTGTCCAACTGCAGTCACAATAGGAAACTTAGAATGATTCTTTCTGACTGCATGTGTCTTGTCCTGTTAAACAATTCAGGTTGATGTTACTGAGTTTTCCCTGATCAGATTGGTTGTTGCTAAGCATTTTAAGTTTATTCCAGAGGAATACCCCTCTCAGGCTGCTGCATGTGCATTTGCCATTTCCCAGAAATCATGACACAGGAAGCTCCAAATCAGGAATAAAACAAACCATTGGTAGAGGGCTTAGAAAATAATATTAAAATTTACAGTTTGTAATTTCTTTGGACAGTTCCAAGGGGTGAGGAATATCTAGCTAAGCAGAACACTGTGTAACGTTTCTTCATTTGTCCCTCATGGTGTACAATCCACCTGTGAGATGGGGTGATAACAACCGTGCTAGCGTTAAGTTTTCTCAGTTTTAGCAGTGTCGATTGTCCTGCATTTCAATAGCAAAAAAAAACTGAGCAGAAAAAAATTCTTATGTGGTAACCAGGGAGAGAATACTGTAGTGGATCTCTGTTGGTTACACCATTACATACACTTAGGATGAGAGGAAAGCTCAACTCTGTGTTTACTTTAGGCCAAGTGACATAAGAATACTGAGAAGTTATCATAGTTTTTCTATCTTTTACATGCAGGTGGGCAGTAATTCCCATGATGTACCCTGCTTCTTCTTTCTTCAGTGTCCCTAGCACTGCTTATGTTGCATTGTCGTGCATTAATCTCTTTGTGG